TTCCCCACGCCCCTACTAACCTCCCCCAAACAGGTCAGATAATGTGGAATCTCATCCTCAACCTGCCCTCGGCCCGCGGATGGAACAACGAGCCGTTCTTCGACCACGCGGGCACGCTGGGCCGCCACCTGGTCAATTCATACCCGTATACGAATGCGGAGCTGGATCGGTGTGTTTTTACGGGACGCGCGCCGTTTGAGGCGTCGGCGGGGTATAGTGAGGTGCTTAAGGGGACGGTTAGGAGGTGTCTTGGGTATTTGCCCGCGGATAGGGTGGGGCTGGAGGAGTTGGGGAGGATTGTGGAGAGGGAGAGGGGGAGGTGGCGGGGTAGGGGGGAAATTAGGGTTGCGAGGGGGAAGGGGATGGGGGGGTTGAGGGTTGGGCGGAGGATGGGGGATGGGAGTGAGGATGAGGATGAGGAGGAGGATGAAGACGAAGACGAAGAGGAAGATGAGGAGGATGACAATGAAGATGATGAAGATATAGATATTGAAATGAGCGAGGAAGAAGAATATTCAGATGGTATGTAGTAAAATTTCAGTATCACGATCATGTTCCTAACGCTTCACAACAAGACATGACTGTATACCCCCTTCTCCCTCACTAGAAGGTTCGCCGGTCGTGACCTCACAGTTCCCGTGTCGTGTTGCATGTAAGCTGGATCCGAACAGAATGGTGGGATTGTTACTTTCAAAGCTCATGTCGATAGGGGTGGAGAGATGGACAGGGAGTCACGACGGGCGGGGAGTTCAAGATTGAAGAGTGTGTATCACTGTACAATCCACCAGAGGTACAGTGTCTAAGAGCCGTGAAGAAGAAAGCCACAGCAATCCAACATGCATTCCAGCAAACGCATCCTTCAAAACCACATGCGCCCATCCCATCTTCAAAGCCTACCTGCGCCTCCGCAGCCCCACCCCAGACTCGAACTCGGCCCCTAGCTCAAACCTCTCCTTCTTCTCCGTAAACAGCGGCATCTGCACATCGGTCCTTACATCCGGATTCGCTTCCAAAAATAACTGAATTGCGCCTTCCAACTCCGCAAGCCCCACGCGCTCCTCAGCCCGCCACTCCAAACACCGCCTCACCAACCTCTTCAGCTCAGGCGAATACGCATTCGCAGCAGGATAAGCGCGCGACGGCATCGGAAACACCGCGCTCTCCGTCAGCAGCCCACGATCCGTGCCAGAAACCGGCTGCAGCGCATTGACGGCGTGGATCGGATTGCCCAGCCTGTCCTTCAGCGCGGCGTTCTCGACCATGGGACCCAGATCCGACCACGAGTGCGCCACCAGCTCCCAAATGGTGCTGCCGATGCGGAAGATATCTGTTTTCTCGTCGAGGGGGACGGGCGGGTTGCCGCGGACGCGCTGCTGCTCGGGGGGGTGTCGCGTCTCGTATGTGTCTGTGGTGTATTCGATGGGGTTGTCTGATGGGCCGGCGGCGTCGTGCTCGAGCTCCGAGAAACTCATGCCTAGGTCTGAGAGCACGATGGTGGGGCGGTGTGTGGCGCGGCCGTGCTCGAGCAGGAAGATGTTGCTGGGGCTGATGTCGAGGTGTGTGATGGGCTTCCAGTGCGGGATGGGAGTTGTGTCGAGGGTGCCGGTGCGCAGGATGCGACATGCGCGCACGAGGGAGGCGAAGACGTGCCAGATGAAGTGCTCGGGGATGCGCCGCGTGATGCCTAGGACATGGTTGCGCTCCATGCCCGGCACCGCCGTCCAGAAACTCACGTGTTGCCCCATGGCGCGGTAGAGGTCCCCGCCCGCGTAGTACTTCAGGTACAATCTGTACCGCCGCTTCGACATCATCAGCCGGTATCCGCGGTGCTGGACGATATTCTCAAACCCAGGCGCGGGGTCGAGGAGCGCGCGTCGCCGATCAATCCGGCGATGTAAACTGATCTCGCGCGGGAGCTTGTCGCGCCAGTATATCGGATTCCGCCATTCCGACCTGGCAGGCTGGCAGTCCTTGACAACTAGACGCTGCACCCACGCCGTCAGCAAATCTTCCTCCACAAAACCGGACTTGGGAAACCACTCACATCCCGAATATTCCCATAATCGTCCACGCGCACCCACAGCCCCGCACTGCCAAACGATCCCGACCCCAGGAACCGCGCGCCGCGCCATGTCCACGGCGACGCACTCTCCTGCCACCTCGCGAGCGGGAGGGCAAGAAAAGCTTTCCGCGCTTCGCGTTCGCTGGTTATCTCGTCTAGTGTTGGCCAGCCTTCCGTGTCGGGGTCGGGGTCCCATTGCGAGGGCCAGAAGTCGAAGGGGTAGTTGTTTCCGGACTGCTGGGCTGGTGCTGGTGCTGGTGCGATGCCGGCTGCTCCAACGACTGCTGGGGCAATGGCCGCGGGTGCTGTAGCGGCAGGAGGAGCGGCTGCTGGTAACTGCCCGTGTGTGCGCGCAGCTGTGAGATTTGCTCTCGTGAACGGCCGGTCTGGGATGGGATTTGGTGTGGGTAATCCGGCTAGATTTCTACGGGTCACGTTGTTGGCTGCGTGAGCTCCATAGTATGTTCGAAGTGCTTGGTTCCCGTGCCAGATTGTGTCTATCGTGATGTTTATATTGGCTTGATACATTAGCTTTTCAAGCTTTACTCGTATCCCGTTGCGAATTCACGTACTAGTGCTCCATCTTGGACGATTTTGGCGTATGTATCGCCTGGCGTCTTGCGAGAAATACGTAAAAGCTTGCTGGAATGGGGGGTTGTGTCGTGGCATTGCGGGGGAAATCTTGCATGAGACTAGAAGGAGTGGAGAGAAAGTGTGAGAGTGTTTCGTCCGTTGGATCCTCAGGGGTGGGGAGTTCTGATCTTATCCGGTGTTCCTATATGGTGAACAAAGGGGGATGCAAACGGAAGCTTTGTTCGCTAGTGTAACAATGGAATAGGAGTTGGAGATACCGCAGTAATAAGACCAGACCTGTGAATCGGATTTATCCGTGCAGACTAGATAAGTCAGCAGGTCGCATGTATATTATGTTATGTTCTTCGATTGCGCAACATGATGCTTCTTCATACTTGTCTTATTGATTGGTCACTTACCTTCTCGCGTTGCAAAAAGTGCGGATGTTGGAACAAAGAAGATTAGTTTCCGTTTGCGACAACTCTTTGAGAACCCCCTTGTTCTATCGCAACCATACACCCCATCGACCAAAGGAAAAACATCAGTACGAAGATTACCCGCATGCCAAGGTGATATTATACGCACCCGAACTCCAAATGTCAGTATTGTAGCTGGGAAAGATTAGCACACCCAAGAAGGCCCCTAAGACTGCGAGAAAGGTGTCTGGCTTGACACCCTTCGCCATGGCTTTGAAGAAGGTCTTCGATACTCGCGGGATGACGTCTTGGTCAGTACGTAAGTGTGTGACTGAACATTTGAGACCAGCGCTGATATACTGCAGAGGAGCAAGGGACATCATGCGAGTATCTTTGATATAATTTACGAAAGTTGTTACTCGATGCAGCGCTCGGCGTGTATGGTGGGCAAGAAGCACATGCAGTTCCGCCGTGGGATGAGGATATCGTACCGGACGAACCAGTCTCAGAAGAACAGGCGAGGGCTGCAGAAGCGCGGTTCATATCAGGGGGAGAGAGCGCAGCGAATCCGTGGGACTATCGGGCCCCTCCACCATGGTGCCACAAGAGCGGAGGAGCGTTGGATCGGAAGGTGATCATGTCGGTGCTGACGTAGAAACCCACGATAGATCTCCAGTAAAGCGCAGTGATACTTATGGACGCGAGCACAAGATCCGTGATGTTCGAGACCTCCTGTTTGACTCTCAATGAGTACGCAGAGATCTCGAGGACGACAGATGAATCACACGCCTGCACCTCCGACCTGAGCGCAGCCAGCGTCAGATCGAGATTGAGCGGACCATCGACGCATACCCGTACACCTTCTGGCCCAACCCGCCTTGGGAATCATCGGCAAGCGACATCGACAAAATCCCGGATCTCGCAGCTTAAGTTCGTCAAAACAAGCCTCCGAAAGAGAAGAACAAGAAAACCGCCGCAGCATCCAAGAGAAGAGAAAGCACATGGAAGCGGCAGAAAAGAGAGATCGAGAGAGCTTGGCTCAAGGCACGACCATTTCTCGATGTAGAAGACACTGCTAACGAAGCCACATGGCGAGGCGTCAAACTTTTAGGCTAGTAGATCTTCGGCTGTGCTGAATTGTGATAAAGGTTGACGAGAGGAACACAATCCAAGACCTCATGGCGGTCAAAGGATGTACACCAAGTGCAATAGCGTGGAAAGACCCCGATGATTGGCGCAGAAAACTGCCGCGCGAGGTACGAATGTATCAATTCGTCAATAGCATGCGGTTGGAAAACTCGCATCGAAATCTCATTCGACACCGAGCGTATCGCTTGATGATGCGGAAAAGACGGTATAGACTGTATTTGAATTTATGCTCGGGGGACGAACTTTTGAACGCGTTGTTGGATCGCTTTGCGACTGAGCCGAAGAGATACAACGCCTCGAGGGATCCCCTCAAACCAGTACCTGAGCCTTTTGTGTGACATCTGTTTGGTAGGCTCGTGGATGCGTGTCTAGTGTTGGAACAAGGTGCGCTGGACGAGAAAGTTGAGGGTTGGAGGACGCTGGTGCATAACGATTTGAATATATGTAACGTCTTGTTGGAGAAGGAAGAAGACCCTGAGAGTTCTTTGGTGAGCAAACGTTACTCGATGAGCACATGTCGATCGTGGCTGATGTTGAGCATAGTGGCCTAGAGTCGTAGTGATAGACTACGGGCAAACGTTTTACGATCTGAACCCGGAGCGGACATACTCAAAAATGAACGGAAACGACAATCCCTTAGTATCGTGCAAAGATCACAATTAACGAGAAGTTGTAGGGGTATTGTATTGTAACCACTCTTCCACCACAGATACAAAGCTTGAACCTTAGATCTTCGGATGACGCAGTCGGTGCCAACTAGAATTACTGGCGAGTGAGTCATCTCGGGCCACCGTCGTCTATCGACTTCGTTCCTCTTTACGTGGCGGATAGTTGCTCAGGTAGAAGCTCAGTATCGTTCGGTACATGCAGGCCGAGGTCTTGACCTTGATAGGGAACCTCATCCAGAGCCACATTGGCCTTCGTGAGGAGATCCCGAAGAGTAGGCCTGTCGTCTACTTTCCAGCTCAGGCATCGCCGCACCATGTCCTTCAGTACATCCGTGTAATTGTTGGAGGCAGGAAACCAGCTCCCATTCAGTACCGTGTCAGCTGTGTTCGGCTGCTGATTCAATACACAACCCTTGTAAGATAGCGCCGTAAGTGGAATCGGTTCTACTCGCCCGTTTCGTGCATTCCGCATCTGCCGTTCACTTTGTGCAGCGCAGTGTGGACATTGTGGTTTTCGTTCTTCGGATGTCTCTAAATCATGCTGATGTTGTTGTTGTTGATTTGTTTCCTGTTGTTCAAGTTCCACTGGATCCCGGTCCTCTCCTTCGTCTTCGTCCAACCCCGGCTCCATGTCCTCTCGAAATGGTCCCATACTGTCAGACGAATGAACGATCAATTTCCATATGACGTGTCCTATGCCCCACACGTCTGTTTTCTCACTCAATGGCACAAATGGTGTAACTTGGTGTTGGTGTTCCTGCATGATCATCAATCTGGGGAACCTATGAGGTAGGTAAATATAATGCACTCACGGGAGGATAACGCGCATGGTCTTGCTCTAAGAGGTAGTCCTCGGGGTTGTCCGGAAGAGGGCAATTCCCTTGAGTCGGACTATAAAAGGACAAGCCAAAATCGGAAAGGATGGGTACTACTGGTAAGTCCTGGGAGACATCAGCATCTGTGATCATAATATATACCTCCGAACCTACTGCATCCTCTTGAACCTGTCCATCCCTCTCTCTTTCCCTCTTCTCCTGCGATGTCTTTGCTTCCTTTGCTGTCGGCAGATCTCCACCAATTGAGCTCGCCCTCCGTTTCTTACAATGTAACAAAACATTTGCTAGTTGGATATCGAGATGCGTGATCGGCTTCCAATCTCGAACAGGCTCAAGTGCGATGGTTCCATTTTGCAAGACTAAGCAAGCAGTTGCTAGTGCCTTCACGACGGACCATATGAATGCTTCAGGCAAGAATGGGAGTCCGAGGCCCTCCCCAAATTTGAAGGCCCAGGTATTGCTATGGCCCACCATCGCACATTTCAGATCGCTGCCCGAGCAAAAGTCTAGGTATATCCTGTATTTCCTCTTGCTCATCAGCAATCGATGACCCCGGTAACGGATCAGGTGCCGGAACTTATCGCTGTCCACGGCGCGACGTTCCTCCACAAGCCGATGGATTTGAACTTCTTGCGGCAGTCGTCCTCGCCAGTTCTTAGGGTCGCGCCAATGGCGTGCCGAGTGGTTGCGGGTTTCCTTTACCGCCATGCGCTAGAATGTGAGGTTAATCAATGCATCTTGTATATGATGTTGTCCGTGTTAACACTTACATCCACGACATTGTTTCGGTCGTCTCTCTCTACCCACAGTCCTACACAACCATAGCCACCAGCGCCGATGAATTTGGCTCCATGCCACCGTGTCTCGTCTCCATCTCGTGACATGTTTGGCTTCGTATGTAACCATGAGGCTCTCCGTTCATCTCTAGCCTTCTTTTGTTCGTCGCTAAGCCCTGTATCTACGTCAAGATTCTCCAGAGTTGCTGTATTGAAAGCGGCTAGCTCAGGCGCGTCGTCATACGGAAGTGGTGGCCAGAATGAATATGGCAATTCATCGACGTGGATCCCAATAATTGAACCCGCAAACCCAGCTAACTGCCCAGTTGCTTTCGCGATTTCTACATCATTTTTACTGTACTGGTCCACCGGGATTGGGGTTGGGACCGGAAGACCAGGACCCGGATTGGAAGTCTTGCTGTTCTGGTAGTGATCTTTGACTGTCTGGCTTCCTGCCCATAATGTAGAAACGGTATGGTTGATTTGCTCTGCACGGCATACGTCAATAGTCTGTTGGGCGTGGAGGTGTGCTTGACCACTTGCCTCTTGTCCACTGGGGCCTATTCAAGGCGATGAACTGCGCAGCATCATGTCGAAAGTAGAGATAGTCAGTTTGATACGGAGGCCCCATCCTGTTCGATATCAACGTAGGGTGAGTAATTTGGTCTGCGTTTGAAGACGTACGGAAGCCGTGATGGTAGATGGTGCTGATGACAACGACCCAGCATCTTGAGCGTACATCAATGGGTCGAGATGCGATAATCCTTTGTTGGCATCTCTAAACACAAACCGTTGTCGTTTACACTAACAACGAACACAAATAGATCAGAGTGGCGAGAATGCAGTAGAAATTTCGATGTGACTTGTGATACTCGATGCTACCATTCGAGTTCTTTTTTCTTATTTCCCCCTCCGTTGTCGAGAGTTGTGCTGCGACTTTTGGGAACCTTGATGTGATACCTATGCGCAGACTACCTGATGCAAATGATTCAACATCTGTAAGTTCACGATCTATCCTGCTGTCGTTGCATGCCTGAGTTGCATCCTCCGAACCCCACATATCGGTGGATTTACGAAGCGCAAATACTAGGCAGGGAGAACGATATTCTCGCAGATTACTGGACTAGCGATGTGTTTACGCGAGGTGCGGGCCGGGTGACAACCGTGATGCCATGTGCAAAAGATACGTAGGTAGAGTGTTTCATGATAGCCAGCGAAATGTAGGCGATGCCAAAGGATGGTGTTGCAAAGACGGGAACGCGACGCGCCCGCGTCCGCGCGGTGGACTGTGCACGCTAGTGGACATGAGCTTCGGATCGCATATGACGTATGTTCTAAGGGGATCAGAAAGTCTGTATCACCCGTCTATCTCCCCTCGATCACCCAAATGGCTACGTAGAAGATTACCAACATCTCCAGTCTCCCTCGTCGCGATCGCCAAGTCTTAGTTAACTCCGTCAAACCTCCTCGATGGTACCATCCTCTACCATCCTGACCACCTGTGTCATCGCCTCCATCATCGCGCCTTCGATGTACCTCTTGCCCTCATAGTCCCATGTCATAGTACCAAGATCACCAGAATTATCCAAAGTGATCTCTATCCAGTCTCTGTATGACTCGTCCTTGCATAGGTCCATATCACCGCCCTGCTCCCAATCCAAACCATCATCGTACTGGAGCGGACGCATCGATACGATGCGCATTTCTAGCATCAGATAGCCATTCAACGCGATCTCGCGTAACGAGAGAAACTCAACATTGCTATGTGCGAGGCTTGAGAAGAATGCATGTAAGGAGTTTGGGGCACGGAAGCTTGCAGTATCGAGAACGAGGCGCCGTAGCGTAGCGCTGTGTGTGCGGATCACGTCGTCGAGAGTGTGGGCTGTTGCTGCCGTGATACCGCGGAGTTCAAGACTTCGAAGACGGAAAGGCGACGAGGTCGCGAGGAACTTTAATACTGGGCGCCAGATCTCTGCCGCCCATCCCGGATCGAGAAAGACTGGGTCGGTATGAGGAGCCAGGGATAACGTCAGGTTCTGCAGGTTTGCGTTGCCTCTGATGGTGGAAATGACATGTCGAAGTGCCCGGGCTGGCACAGCTGTGTCCGCTTCGAAATTGTGAAGACTGAACTCTAGGACTAGCGTGGTCACGTTGCGGAGCGTGGCCATGAGGCTCATGCCCTTCGCGACCTGGACCGGGGGCGCAAAGAACGATTGCCACACGGTATTTGAGAAGCCGGTGATCTCGAAACAATCTAGCTTCGGCTGCACAGTATCTATAGCCTTGAGGATGCCGCGGAATTTCATGCAAGGAGCTTGATGATTGACCTCGTTCCATCGGAAAATGTAGCTTGGGCGGTTTAGTCCACAAGATCGAGGAAATGCGCCGTACAGATCTTGCCAGGAGAACACAGGATCCATACCTTCCAAGCCGGTGATCTCACGTGGAGCGCGAATACCAACATGCTTGAGATTCGGGAGGCGCTTGAGTATCCCGACGAGCATGTCGTTAATTCTGCCCAGGTCCAAGTCTGCGTCCAGCCGCCTGAAGTACATTGGTTCCTCCTGACCGTACCGTACTCTTGGTATGCGCCTCACGAATCTGAACTGGAAGTCCAGCTTCTGAACACGGTAGGCGAAGGGGGAGCATGCGATGTGGCTCAGATGCGCTATGCCTGCGTCGGTAGTGGTGCATATCTTTTCTGTGAAGAGCCACTTTTCCTACAAGTATCTTGTTATTCAACATGTCCCCCCATGAAAGGGCTGTTGTCTTACAAAAGCGTGTCTTGTGCCGTCTCGTATGCGGCGGTTGTACACCGATCTTAGATGCAGGAAGTCGCGTTTTTCCAGGTGGCTGACAATGATACAAAGTAACTCTTCAGGCAGATCGACCAGTCTGCATGTAGATTTGTGCTGAAGCATCTTCGAGGTTGTAGATGTTGTTGGTGTGATGCAATTTTCTGTCGGATACGGCGGCGGTTTCGTGAAAAGGAGTGAAGGATCATGATTATTCACAGATCGAGACGCAGAGAACAGCACCTTTAAATACCCGGATTTGATAGTCACCCTAGATCAACGTCTTACCCCTCATATCTCCTGTAGATGAAAACCTTGATAAGTCTTAACATCTTTGAGCCAATCCATGGTGCGGAGTACGTAGTAATGGGGTAATACAGATGCGGAGGAACTGGTAACAACGTGGTTTATATCCCCACTCGGCCCACGTACTGATCGTCGTTTTGAACTAGTTCATAAGGTAAACCATGGTTCGTCGCAAGTACTATGTAATAGTTATGGTGTTCATTAGTTGTCCAGTCTGTGGTACTCCCAGTAAACTTATACGCAGGGTCTTTGCGTATTCCGCCATATTCAAAAGCATGGTCTTGGATTTGGATTTGGACTGAGGACGTTTGGAATGTTCGACTTGGAGCATGAAATGCCGCTAATGCATCAACTTTCAATTTCGCCCCTACACCAGCCCTGCTATCTTCAGTCTGTCGAAACGAGTCAACGATCAAACGCCTTGGACGTAAAATGGCATTTACTTGTGAAGTCTCCTTGTGTTCCCTTTGATGTCCTGACAGCAGTCTCAACCTGCAACTCGCCAGTTCCTGCCTCGCGTCGTATTGATCACCAATTCCACTCCGATACCCTGTAGCGCACCCCAGACTTCATCATCCACATCATCCTCAAGTTTGTATTCTCTGTTATCATCAGACTCCTCGCTCTCTTCCCCATTCGGAGTCTCTTGTCGAAATCGCTGGTCCTGTATCAATGGAGTTGGGAGCCTGTCGCACCATAACACGACCTGTTTGAGAGACGGAAACTGATGGCGATGCATGAGTACATATTTTGCCCAATGATTGAGCATGCGAGTCGAGTCAATGACTTCGACAATTTCTATCGACGGTGGTAACAAACAAGGAAGGAAATTCTCCTGGTCAAGTTGGAAATCATAACGGGAGTCAGTACGATAATGGAAAAAGAGTGCTTCTTGAGGTAGGACGAGGCGGCGTAGGTGCATGAGATCTGGAACGAGATAGCGCCAGCCGTGGCTAGGCAGGTCGAGGGGTTCAATACCATCAGCCTGCCACAACTCATACGCCTGGCCGGTACCATTGTCGGCATACTTCTCCCAATCAACGTCGGACGTGTCGATAGTGAGTGTTTCCAGGGTCGGGACCTGAAGGAGAGGCATAAGATCGCCATATGAGAGCACTTCACCTTCATCTATGTCCGTGTGATGAGACATATCGTCATTGTGGAAAAGACGAATCTCAAGATGTCTGAGTGCATCGAGGTGCGAGAGTAGATTGTGGAGTAACCCATACAACTCGCCTTCGTAGAGGTTCAAATTTCTGGTAAGTACCGTGACGTTGAGATCAAGGATCAGAGTGGTGATGTTGGTACACACGTGGCTGTGATCCATAGGTTCGCCTGGTGATACATCAACCGGGTGGTAGTCAGTTCCTCCTATTGTGTCGATGTCTCCGGTCTTGATGTGAAGTGTATGCAGGGTGGGTAGCGTCATCACTGTCCAAGGCGGTAAAAACGTTGTGGTCAACGATTGGAGAGCAGACAAACCAGGTACCAACCTAGATGAAAAGTTTCCCTGCATGTTCCCAACACCAAGCAACGTTGTTAAGGCCTTGCCCGAGACGTTGTGTGTTTTTAAGGACAGCGATTCCAGAGAGGGGAGGATATGAAGTAGCACGGCGACAAGAGCGGGCTGATATTCGTAGTGTATATCTTTCAGCCATCCACGATATTGCTGGTACCGTTTTCGGCGCGGAATGGCTGGATACGGCGTCATTTTGGTAAGCCACAGCCGCATTTCCGTTCCTTGGACAGCTTGTACGCACAAGTCCTGTATCTTTGCAAAGTCGCAGGAACATTTCCACTCTAGCCCCGGCTCAGTTTCATGATGCTGGGTCTCCACACAGTCGGCGGAGTGACTCGTCTCCCATTCAAGTACGTGTAGGCGTAGCGCTCGCACTTTTCTGCAAAAGTCAGGCCGCGCAAAGAGTGTGCGAAATAGATAGCTAGTCTGAACAAGCGTTTTCGTCCTTGGATGGTCACGGTCATAGGTTTTTTCAACTATGATTTCCTGGTAGAGTGCCTCTTGTGCAGCGGAGAGAAACCATCTTGACGTCAAAGCGAGATGCCGGAGCGCGTCATTGTCGCCTTTGAGATAACCGGCGATTTGGAGTAACAGCTCGAACGGGATATCTTCTAAGCCGGCCATCGCATTGGTGTTGTCGCGCGAATTTTGGTGATTCGCCGTTTGATGAAATGAAGTTGAGTTTGTTTTTCTTGTTGTGAGCAAGTATAAATAACTAGCGGGCTTGGCGAAGCAGACGGAAGGATGTAAGGAAAGAGCGCACCGCTCATGCTGTTCCTGAAGAAACTGGGACGAGGTTGGCTATAATAAGAGAACTATGATTGCTTGTGATAAAATTCCCAGCCATCAAGGAAGAGGATGTGAGTTTTGCTCATATAAGAAGAAATCTAATTCGAAAACAGAAAACGCGAACCTTCTTGTCTTCCTATACGACCGCATTTCGTTTCTCGGGTCCCTGTTCTATCTTTTGACACTTTTTCCATGTCGCGAATTATGCTATCAAACGTAGCAAGTCATCTATGTAAAACTACAGAGATCAGCCATGGAGACACACAATTCTGTGTTGAGGTTCATTTCCATGTTCTACACGACGCAACCCTTGACGAATCGATGAGTGGCTTTGGACGTTTCATAGCATGCATTAACGAGTGGAAGAATATCAATGCACTAAACATATGTAGTCCGTTGAGCCTTAGCGTCGCTATGGTAACCCCGATTGAACTGAAATTGACGAGTTCGACCTCCCATCCTACGTCGTCACCAAACATCGTCGTCGGCAATATTATGAATCTCTGCAAACTTCGAAGGAATTTTAAGCAATAACTTCCTACTTCTCAGACGCTATCGCTCCATTGCACCTCAACGTAGAACCAGACTTGAAAGCAGGCATCGAACGAAATGGCACAAGTCTCACACCACAACATAATGCGCTTCTACTTGGACACCCGCTTGAACACTCAGCTACCTTATTGCCGATGACATGAGGGCCCATGTTGAATCGAGAATTTTGACACTCTCGATATTCGAATCCGGTTCGCAATTCACTTGCAACCTTGGACACCCGAAGGAGGGCTTCATTACAAAACAGTGACCTGCAAGACCAGCCAACAAGACCGGGCCAACAGGCTCCTACATGAATATAACCATTTGTCATAGTGTTTTATGGTTGCAAGCGACGCTCCTGTCAGGCTGCCATTGACTGACACGACGGGTAAGATCAAGAGCGAATCGATGCAGTCAAGCAGTGCGTGCAGCCAGCAAAAGAATTGGCAGTTCAACAAATGAGTACGGATGAGTTCAAGCAAACGCCCGTTAAACACGAGGGGATGCGTGGCGCAAATACTGCCAAATTTGAGTCAGCAAGTTCGAAACTAGCTGGGGATATTTCGACTCACATGTGCCTTTGGGGCTCCCTATTTTCGAAATGGTCGGGTTGCGCATTGTCGAGTAGGCTCAAGAACTGATGTATGCGTTCAATATGATTTTGAGTTAAGCTTTCTTGACGCGAGATTTGACCCTAGTAATTAACATGGCTTGGCCATCCCGGTCATAAGCCGTTGACTCAGGAACGTTATCGTAAGAAGTTTGCTCCGCAACACAATAGGGTCTGAATCTGAGAAATTTTGCATCTCATGACCGTAATATCCTCCCTAGAAACCAATGCGAGAACTGTAGCGCAGGCATGATCGTTGCCGCAACAAGCCGAGACATCCACTCGTGCAACTTCCACAAGATTGTTTGCTCCAACTCCGCAGCGTCCATTTCTTTTGCCTGTTCTCTCATCTCTTCGACTTGCTCTTTCAGTTTGGCGGCTTTCCGAGGAAGTTCGAGACCAAGGCCAAGGTACAGACCAACGATGACGTATTCCATGACTACTTGCCTGGAACGGAACGTTAGTACAACGTATCAATAGCGTTCTCACTGTATCGCAGGATATTTGAGGAGTGTTGCAGATGGGTACGCACATGCACAGCTGTATTGTAACGTTGCCGCTAATAACGTTGAAACGCTGCGATCCTGACTGCTTCTCGAAGGCGAAACACATCATGTAAATGACGTTGGCAAGAAAGAACGGCAAGCTGAGAACAACGGTAGTGAGAATTTTGACCTCACTGGAGTCTGCTAGGTACAGACGCGCTGAAATGACTGTCGTTGCCCAGATCAAAATGACGAAACACGCTAGGTACAGACAGATACCGGCTTTCGTTGAGCCAGTTGCTGTAAAACTGGGTCCATCGCGAGAATCACCATCGATGCCGCCGGCAACAATGAGGGCGAACGAGATGAGTAGCGGAACGTGTACCATAAGCAGAAGCCATTGCATACGTCGTCCCTTGGGTTTTGTTGTCGAGTTAAGCAGACTGGAGGTCGCCATAAACAACGGCGTAAGACCCATCGAAGTCAGGATTGCGACACCGCTCTGGAATGATGTATTTGCTACGATCCTAGGATCATACAGCGAAGTTGAAGCAAGATCGAGGGAAACCTGTACGAGCCGGCAAAGCGCGAGCAGCATCAGCCAGACCCATGGCCAACTGCGTCCGAGACCTTGGCGGATGATAAGCCAAATGGAGATGCAGAGATAGGGAAAGAAGACGATGATTGTGACGATGTTGACGATGGCTCCATATCGAGGCACAGCCATTGGTATGGAGGCATTGGGGGTGAGATATGTTGGAGGAGAAGGAATCACGAAAACATAGATGGAAGCGCAAGCCAACGTCATGGAGATTTAGCGTAATGATCTGCCCCAGCTTTAAATATCGAGCAAGGTTCAATTGGGCAATACTTGCTTGGCATCCTTGGTAAATCTGGGCGGAACTTGTCTTGTCCAGTTTCATCTGTATGCGACTATCTCATCATCCAGAACTGATCCGGTTCATGCTCTTAGCACCTCTTTGAAATACGACCAGAGCCCATCAAAACGTCCTCGTCAGCAGGGTTGTATGATTACTGAAGTTCGCCACCCCTGAGGCTGTGCTCGGACGCTCGGACGTTGTCTTTCCCCTTTGCCCAGCCGCGTCACTTGCCTCCATCTCGCTTTTGCTACTTCTTGCCGTTAACTATGCGTCAAAAGATAGTGTTGCCCGTCGCTGGAAGTGACGTGGCCTTTGTGCTTATGAGCTTATGAACAGAGAGTTTGTTTTCAACTCACGGGATCAAAAACACTTACCATAACGAAACATGTTCTTAGATTCGTTTTCCAATAGGATTGACCACATCAACACCATGCGCTGATGTTTGCTTGTCTTTGACATACAAAATCACTTTGTTGTTCTGCTTTTCACGGACAAAAGAATCTAATCATGGCATGCCTGCTGACTTTACTCAATCTCAAACACAACAATTCCCTGCAAATCCTTCGAATTAGCATCTGGGTGGATCAGATCCCCCCAGCTAGCGAAATTCCCCGCACGCCCAACATTGGAATGGGGGAAACGCTAACAGCTACAGAGCTTACTTTGATTCTCAAGGCGCACAGCAATTCAGATCTGAGGAATGATTACAAGACAACTGACCTCCATAGTAACAGTATCTACCCTAACTCGATGGTTTCAGCATACTACAACGTCCCCAATGGATATGCAGCAGGAATATGTCCCCGATCAGGTTCCACAATCGGTACACTCGTATACTCCGGGACTTCAACACTCTCTCTTGCCCAAACTGGGGCTCTTCTGATCTTCAGCAACTGCTCGATCTGATACCCGATCCCTAACAACTTTTGCTCATCCCATGGCTGCCCTAAGATCTCCATACCGATCGGCACTCCGATCGGCGCATCGTTGCTTGGTTCCGAAAAACCGGCTGGGACAGTAACAACGGGTACGCCGGTTAGCGCGGCCAGGATGCCGTTTCGACCGGATTGCGATGCCGAACCAATCTTTACGACAAGGTTCTTTTGTTCAGGGTAGATGATCGCATCAAGATCGTTGGCAGCGAGAGTGTTTTGGAGGGCAAGAGTAAGGTTCTGGATCCCTTGACGGCGCTGCAGGTATGTGGCGTTGCTGGTCGATGAGACAAGCGCAGTGTTGACATATTCATACTGTGATGGAATGACAAGGAACTCGCCACCGGAACCGTTGACTGCTCGACGTGAGTACAGCCCAGTGAGCGTATTGGGATGGTCGCCAGAAAGGGAAGGGCGCTGGAGATATGCATCCATGAGCTCACGGTACTCGAAGCGCTGCACATCGAGCTGGGCTTGTATGGCGGTCGCGTTGTAGATTGTCTCGTTGATAGAAATTAAAGTCACACCTTCGGCGTCCAGACGAGACATTAAGGCATCCATCGCGTTGTTTACTGGAGTAACCTCGGACGAGTTTGTGCGATTGAAAAAGCCGTTCAAGACACCCAGGCGCAGACCTTTGAGAGTCCCAGTAGTTAGGGAAGTCGCATAATTGACAGCACGATTTGCCGATGGTACAAGTGCTGTTGCGTTATCCGCTGAATCGTATCCAGTGGAAGCCATGACCGAGAGAGCGACCGCAATGTCTTTGATTGACCTCCCAATCGGCCCAATGGTATCGTGAGTGAAGGAGATTGGAATAATCCCAGTCCTAGTAATCAAGCCTCGCGTAGGTCTGATGCTGCATAGCGAGTTTGCTGACGCAGGACTGCGCAGTGAATTGACGGTATCTGTTCCTGTGCCGAAGACGCAAAAAGAAGCTGCAACCGCTGCTCCCGTTCCACCAGAGCTACCTCCAGGTGTTCGCGTCGAATCATAGGCATTGATGACCTGTCCGCCCAACGAGGATACGCTGATGCCTTCCAAAGCGAGCTCATGTAGAGTCGCTTTACCCAAGATAACAGCTCCAGCATTCTTAAAGGCGACTACACTCGGCGCGTCTTCTGTTGGACGGGAGTCTGCAAGTGCAAGGCTGCCACCTGTTGTAGGCATATCCGCGGTATCATAGTTGTCTTTCAAAAGAATAGGGATGCAGAAAAGAGGTCCGGTAGCATTACCCACTGATAGCTGCTCATCCAAACTGTCGGCAATAGACAAAGCATTTGGATTTAGGGTTATTATCGCGTTTGTCAGGTTGTTATGAGCTTCGATCCTTGCGATGAACGACGATACTACTTCGCGGCAAGTGGAAAGTCCAGAGTAAAGAGCATGGTGAACAGATTCGATTGTCGCTTCTCGTGCATCAAATGGCATGGTCTGAGCGATCAAATGCTGGCAGTAGATCGCCGCCAAGGTCAGCCGGAGGAATGAAACCATGTTGGAAGGTCAGAACGCAGGAAGGATACGCGATCTCAGAAATTTGAAACTCGCGAACAAGTGTTACTTATGCACTTCTCCAGCGCACTTAGACTTGTCACTATCTCCGCGGCTTACATTGATCTTACTCGGCATACATAAATCGTTATTATGTGTATCTAGCTGTGACGTGTAGTGGTCATCACCACCTTATCGTAAGACCCGAAGAAGATACTGAGATGCCGAAGCTCGGAGTGACGTCATGCGCCGAGGTTATCTTTGAACATAGCAAAGCTAATAAGTTGCCAGTGTTCGAGCATTTCTTCGACAGAGGAAGATGAGATCAGCTTCGAGAAGGCGATCCAAATGGGCCTACTAGCGTGCTGGAATGGCAAGTATGCTTGCAACACAGCCGGCACAGTACGATAGAAGTACGCCAGCGAGTAGGACATCGAACAAGGAACCTTCAAACGACTGAGATGAATCTTGATGTTGTCGCCGTTAGGTATATGTTGAGATGCGCTGTTCAGCGCGTCGTAAATTCCATGCTCTTGATGGATTTGATGGCGACGAAAAAGCATGCATAACGTATTTTCTCATGCGACGCGTCTGTCAAAGCAGCCTACACGGCGGTAGAAGTTCCCAACCCCATAGCAAGTTCTTTGCTTGCTCACCATATGTCGATGATGAGCCTGTTGGCGATCGGCGTTCATCGAAGGACGAAGGACACACAGGGTGTGTATGCGTAGTCTGACTCCCGACGGGATGAGTGAATTCGGATCGTTGAGTCATTCATAGAGGCACTCTCCGCATACCAAAATGCCGTGGCTGGAGTCTTGGAAGGGGTATTGTGGGAGTGGTAGCACGTACGTTGTGGGAAGAAGATCATTGCCAAGGCTCTAAATAAACGTGGTTCCAACCACCACCACACCTCAACGCCTCAAATCCTATTCAAACGCCATGTCTATTTGTCGCACATCTTCATACCTTATTTGCTAGACTATGATCCGGAAGATGACCTCGCCGCAGACTAGGTCTTCTCCGCGTTGAGTGCACGAGCTCTCATGAAACCAACTGTGTAGTACCAGTGAAACTTTAATCCCAGATTGTGAGTTTTCAGACTACATCTGTACCGAAACGTGCCCCGATTTGTCGAAATAACGTCCCTGATCAACCGTCCCTAGATGCGCATCCCGTAGCAACGTAAGGTCCCTTGCTGCACATCCAATGTTGCACGCTGTTGCGAAAATTGAACGATGCGTTTCATGGCATCTCAATCGAAAAGTCTGCAACGAGATAATGTCACTCAGCACTATGGCATCGACGACATCGAGGTATGGGAGCACTCGTAGAAACAAGTACGATCGATCCTACCTACAACGTAGTCCTCGCCTAGGACATACGACGACCATATATGGTAGATTATGTTTTGTCTCTCCAGCCTCATCCTTATCATCGAGAAGTTCTGTTTGTCCCAGGTCACATTCAAGTGCCCGCCAAGCTTCTTTGATGAAACTTAGTCTCGAATCAAGGTCCGGCCAAATGCAATGGAGATGGTAGTCACCCTATCAGGCATCTGTAGATATCCAACTGTCTCGAATCTGATGGCTACCGCCTGTTATGTGTTCCCACATCCAGCAAAGGTGTGTGCAGACACGAAATGTTCACACCAATTTACAAAACCCTACGAAACGGCCAAACCTGCGTATACTGAAATCCTATGATACCTCAATCACGTTTCAAGGCCACTGCAAGGCCAAGACACGGGGTGCCGATGCCTTTCTCATGCTCCAGTGTTGTTTTCGAACCCTCATTCTGAGCACTCCCACGTCTTGGCCAAGAAATCGCCGCATCACAATCGCGGGGTCTGCCATCGCGCGAGTCACCTAGGGAAGCCAAGTAGTCGCGAGGATGTATAAATGAGGCCATGATCGCGACTGAAAGAGAACCATTCAGCATCAAAGTTCCCAGCCCAGCATCTACAGTAATCTTCACTCCCTTCTCTTTTATCTAATACCTTCTCTATTCTATTCTACTCTCTAATCATCTATCTGACCGGTTCAGAATGTACTTCACCAAATCCTCCGTTGTTGCTTTCAGCCTTTTGGCTTCCTCTTCGCTTGTGGCTGGCCACAGCGCTATTATCAAGGCAGTTGGTGATGCAGGTGGTGCGGGTTCTGCCATTGGTGTCGATCCCAACACCCCTCGTGACGGCACGAGGCGCCAGCCCTTCCAGCAAGATGCAACCCGGTTCAAGGGTGATGCTGCAGCTATCTGCGGCGAGACTCTTGGTGGAGGCGACAACGACATTACCTCCGGTACAGCTCAGGTCATGCAACTCAACGGCCCTACGCTTCCCCAGGTCTCCGCCGGCGGAGCACTCATGATGACTGTTCACCAAGTCAACGGAGATGGTGCCGGCCCTTATAAGTGCATGATCGACGCCACGGGTACCGGGACCGCATGGACGCCTATGACCGTCACCCAGAATCTCGCGGGTAACGCAAGAGGCCGCAATAACGACAACCAAATGATGGATCTGCCTCTCAACGTTCAAATTGCTGCCACCCAGAACTGCACTGGAACAGTCGCTGGTCAGACCAACGTCTGCATGGTACGCTGCGAGAACCCTGCTCGTGCTGGTCCTTTTGGTGGTTGTGTCCCAGTTCAGATGGCTGGTGCCGCTGGTATGTGCAAACACTCTCCTTCTCACATTCATAACATGCTTGTTCTGAATTTAATCATTTTGGACAACTACTGACCTATTCTAGCTGCTGCTCCTGCAGCCACTGTTCCGTCTGCCGCTCCCGCCGCTGCCGCTCCTGCTTCCGTCGCCCCTGCTGCCGCTGCCGCTCCTGCTACTTCCGCTGCCGCCGTTCCTGCTGTTCCTCAGAATGCTGCCACGAGCCTCCAGAGCACTGCCTCAACCGCCCAGGGTGCCGCTGCTCGCAAGCGAACGGCGCTAAAGAACGGTCAAGGAGTTGCTCCCTTGCTCACGAATGACGATCAGGAGGAGGAGGTTGCGGTTACTGATGATGATCAAGAGGAGGAGCTCGAGTTCTGAGTGTCTCTCTTCCTTGATATACCTCACGACTAGACTCTGGTATTCACGACTGGGAAGAATTTGAACCGGTAATCATGGTGGATTCATGTGGACGAACACGCTTCAGTACTCATCTTGCGACGGTAATGGGAATAGTGTGAAAAGTCTATGGTATGAGACTACCTCTGCGCGGTGCGCACCCTCCTGCTGGTCTGCGACTAGAGGAGGTAGACGGTGGAACAAATGCTAAAAAAGCAGTGGTGATGAATAGGCACAGGGACTTATCTCAAACGCTCCTAATGCAGTAATATATCTTGCTATCATCGTTTCGCCCCCTCTTGATCAATTGTGGTGGTTATGGTTCTGATGATGATGGAGGTCAGTATCTTGACTGGCTATCATTTGGGTTTCTCAATTTGAAAGTGTTTGCAAAATTCGAGTTTACCTTCACACAACTTTTCATCATTTACACATTGTTGGTCAATATAGAAACAACCGACGTTTATGGACGTGGGCTCGATCACGATAGCAATGTGATATACTTGCAGTTAAGGACAGTATGCATGCCATTCACGAGACTGAGTCGTGAAACTAATCATGTTCGAGGAAAACCGACGGAAAAGATAAGGAAGACGCTGAGATTGAGTCTGTAACGCATACACAAAAGCGAATGTAGGGAGTTCTATGAGTGACGAGAGGGGTAAGATTATCGGCCATGGGTTACCATCGGATTTGATTTCAATGTTAACTCATGGAAGGGATAGTGGAAGGCTGAATAAAACAGATGGCGAAGTCTGTGTCCTGCCAAATTGTGAATTGCAGCTGAGGAAACTACATGAGCATGTTGTAGCTGTCACTGTAGTTGCATAGTAGATTGAGGACCTCCATCCACAAACTTTTAGTCAGAGGAGTATCGGCCATCTCAATACTTGCATAGAAGAGTGAATTACTACTTGTTTTTGCATGTCGGGATTTCATATCCTCCTGAAGAGCCAGCAAGGCGTGAACGACATTTCGAGATCGTAGAGCTTTTTGTAGAGATTCGAAGACCACATTCGCCGTTCCACACATTCTTTTCAGCACTGAAAGGGGAAAGAAGAGCTGAAAATATTCAATAACCAGTAGCAGAAAAAGGGAACATCATGAGAGCCACCTCTGTTACTTTTAGGAGACTCAGGACGAGACCAACATATATGTGCTCATCTAGCATCTGTGATGGAGATGACCCCAGAACAGCCCACCAGAGTCATCCTAATCTTCTCTTGACCCGTTGCAAATGAGATGAGGTAGCTCGTCATGCCTAGTAGGGGAGAAACATACTATACCTTCTCTTGAGTCCAACTTGAACCCTTTCAAGGACGAAACTATAGCAAGATGTTCATAAAATGTCTCTTTTAGGTAGTTAAAGATCAAGAGTAGGGAGATTACACGTTCTCGCGTATTGGGAGTCTTTCTGCAACCTTCGGGAAGAAGGGGAGCTCTCGGTCAATCGAAATACCAGGAACCAGGGTGCAGCGAAATCATGCAACAGCTGGACAACTACAACCAAGTTTAGTATTGGAATCTTGTGCACAAAGATAGAGCAGTATACGCCTTGCGAGCATTTAAAAACTTTCAAGCGTGTAGTTTTGTGACTTGTAGGAGCCACGAAGGATGTAGCTTACTTCCCGCTTTTACAGTTGATCGAGAGGGGAGATCGTATTTTGAGATCTCCAGCAGGGGATACAAACCTCAAGACATCACAGCGCCTGCTCTTAGAGCAAGCGGAGCCGAGAGGGGAACACGCACGCCATGGAATTCAATCCATACTGCTTCTAACGCCAAGGTGGAGAGGAGATTTCAATGATTCCAATTCCGGGTTAGACTTGTAGAAGATTTTAAAAGGCGAGCACAACATGACGACTTGTGACATATCTTTAATCTATATCTACAACAGTACCTCGCCACTGCCTACGCGCTTTTGAGGTTTGTCCAGAGAAAAGAGAAGACAGGCCCTATGTCGTTAGTGGTAAGAATTTTTCCAGCGGCGGGCAAATAGACACTGATTTCTTACAAGAAAGACAATTAAACGCGATATACTACAGCTATACCAGTCGCTATTCTTGGAAAAGCTAGAGAGGCCCGATCCCAACATGACACTATTTGAGTAAGATTTTGATTCAACTTGAAGCTAGCAGGCACACCGCACCATCAAATCGACTTCTAAGTTTTTCGTTTCTCACGAGATCAAAGGAGGAGATCAGGACATCCAAGCAAAGATGGGGAGAGCAACGTTATCCATCACAGAGACAGTAATTTTGGATATCCTTTGAGGTACGAAAGACATGACAGACGCTTCCAATCCTTGTCCAAGATACCCAGCACATCGCACCATAAAAGTATTCGAAGTCTTCCTTGACTCGCACAGGCAAGAAAGGTATGTGTGTTGTACTCTCCAGGTGGAAAATTGAACCATGTTGTGAACTCGTATCTTTTGTTGTAGGGAGCAACAAAGGCGAGAATAAGAAGACAACATACCAGTCTTCTGGCCCGTTCATCTACCTCAACGTAGCCCGGCACAACAAGCTACTAAAACTGTTGCATGTCGTTTTTGTTTCTTAGGGAAGTAAAAAGGCGAGGTACATACCTACTTATGACGAGTCAATGAAAAGACGTAGAACACCACATGTTGCATATACACCAATTCTGCATATTTTGAGTCGCACAAAAGCCAGAAGCCAACACATACTCTATGCTTCGGACTGTCTTGATTTGAAGTGAAGTATATAGAAGAGGGGCAAGCGCAGACCATCGGTTCAGCAACAATTGCCTTTTTGACATTCTGGAAAAAAGGTGATTGTGTACTAACTATGTTACCCCGACGAAGAAGTAGAATATCGCGCAAACTCTGTCTGTAGTCGTCCAGAAGCTAGGAAGGCGGGAGAACAGCATGGATCTTGTCGCACAAAATCTTGCTTTTCACGTCGACAGTAGAGGCAAACAAATGCTTATATAACTTTCATTAGTAAGTATTAGGCAGAATGTAGGTATGTAAGCCAAGAAAGATAGAGGTAAAGACGAGATCACAATCTGTTTTACAATGGTAGAAAGTTTTTCACTTTGATATAGATAGAAATTTACCAATCACTCATTTTCTAGAAAGTCTTAGTTTTTAGGAAAACGTAGGTGTACAACTTAACGGAGATAGAAAAGAAGCAGGACAGCCACATGCCACCTGTTTCGAACCATCTCAATTCAATCTTAGGATAGAAGAGCGAGAGACAGCCATAAAGGTTCTAGAAAGCCTTTCTAGTTTTCAGGATAAAACTTGGTGTAACTTCAGAAGGATAGATAGAAGGGCAGGAGCAGATCACATCCCACCATGGTAGGAGGCTATTTGATTTCGATGTAGACAAAAGCCGACGACACCCCATAGGATATCGGTCATCAGTTTTAGGCTTTTGGAGAAACAGTGCGTGCACAATAAACAGGAACGGAGAAGCATGCGAGAGGCCGACATCCGATATGTTTCGAACCTTTTTGGTGTGGTTCCTATGTAAATAGGAAAGCCATATTCCACCCATGAGATGCTCAAATTGAGGTTTTGGGGAGAAACGGGTGTATAGCATGAAGGCGAGAGGGAAAGAGGCGAGAGAACATATCATGTGAGATATCACTGCTTTGGGACTTTGTTAATGTAATTTCCTGTTAATAGAAAACCCACAAACGACACATACCGCGTTTACTTTGTCGTTTTTCGGAGAAAGGCAGTTGTGTGCTACTTTTCTACAAGAGAGAGAAGAACATAACAGAAGCTCCACGAAAGTAGTCTTATAAGCCAAACAGACAATGCGACAACATGAGGTAACTAATAAGTCTGGTTTAATCACGTCTTGAATAAACTACATACCACCGACCGCACATGTAAGTTATCCTGGCCAACTTGGAGTTTCTAGCAAAATGATCTGTGCATCTAGAGAAGAATAGACAAGTCGACGAGCGTACACATACCACTGTTGCAACCCATTTCAACGAAGATAAACAGAGCAGCGCGAGCACCAGACCATTTCTTAGCGAACCTCGATTTTCGTTTTCGTTTCCAGAAACCTGTGTGTGTACAAGTCCGAACGACAAAGAGGGCGAGGACACACATACATCCGTTAACAGAACCTTTTGTAAGTGATGTAGAAAGAAAAAATCACCTAAAGCTCATGTTGCTTTATGCTGTTGTTTTTGGAATTAGGAGATGGCATGTGATTGTTCAAGCTGAGTATGACAGGGGAGAAACGCAAGAGCACAGCCCATCCCACGGATCCCCATTGTTTTGAAATATCTTGGTGTAATAGGATGTAAATAGATTTGAACCAGCGACACACTATGAGTTCTTGGACGATATAATTTCGCATGATGTAGGAAAGTGGGAGTTTATAAGTAAGAAATACGGAGAAGACAAGAGCACAACACATGTCCTTGCAAATAGAGAAAGGCCGCCAACAGACCATGTAGCTTATTGGTCTAGCTTTAGGTCTTCATAGAATAGTAGCCGTGCAAGAACAGGGGGACAAGAGCACAACATGACTCCATTCTCAACCTGTTTGGAGTTCAACGTAGATACACAAAACCCACCGCCCGCCTCCACAAATAGACTTCTTGTCCCTTTCTTTTGCAGAAAATAATAGCCAGCAATGTCCCAGAATACCACGGCCTAGATCTAGTCCAGATTTGGCTTTTGTCCAGAAAGCCGAGAAGCCAGACAGTCACATACGACCGCCATTGCGTCTTTTTCATTTGATGTGAAACGAATGGGCGAGCGACAGACCATAACCTGTTTACCGGCAGAGTTTTTTTTTTTTTTTAGCTTTTACAAAAAATGTAGGTATGACTTAGAAGTCGCAGACAGGAAGACCAGAGAACAACATTCCAATAGCAGTTCTGGCGTTGTTTGAGAGGTAAGAAGCCGAGGAAAACACATCACGAGATCGGATTCCCATTTTAATCTCGATTTATCAGAGCAGAGCGAACAACAACCCATGTGTTTGCCCTGGTAAAACTTTTCGAGGGTGTAGGAAGATGTAGGCGTACCTTATAAATCATAAACAAGAAAAGCAGGAGACCCCATCGTTCCATGGCAATAGCCTTTAGGTTTTATTAGCAGGCAAGAAGGCAGACAAGACAGCCGCTATGTAGCGCTTTGTGTAAGCTTTGGATGTATGTGAGTAGGGGGACACAACCGCCTTCTCATGCAAGACTTATCTTTCTGTTTCTAGAAACAATAGGTGGGGTGGAAAGGTGAGATGTTTGAACTAGGGAGAGAGGAGGGACACATCCATCTGTATCAGCGCAGATTTGGGTTTTGTGTAGAGCGATAATATGCTGAGAACAACACATGGCTCTCCTTCTAGAGTGTTTTGGTTTCCACCTAGAGAAGGAGAGGCCACCGATCGCCCATAATAGTGTTGTTGTTGCAAGTTTTTTGTCTTTTATAGAGTTGTAGGAGTACGATTGAAAGGCGATAGACAAGGGAGGCGAGAGAACAACATTGGTCTGATGTAGATGTAGCTTTAGTTTTATCCAGAGAGGTCGGGTGGTCAGGCAGCCGCCCATCGCTAGGACGTAACCAGTTTTGATTTCGACATAAACAACAAGAGGGGAGGTCACCGACCACCCATGGTTTGCATTTTCCAGAATTTTCAATCATCGTGGAGTCGTAGGAGTGTTATAAAAAGGTGATGGAGAAGAACACCATGCTTCGTCTGGAAGAGCTTTTCAATACCGCAAAAGGCAGGAGCAGAGAAGAACGACATGCCTCCATCGTAAAGCAATTTTTCGAGATGTGAATAGAGAGCTTGCTGACACGCCATAAAGTAACTCACTTTGCGTGTTTGTTTTCTAGAAAAGGATGGGAGCAGAGTGAGATAGACAGCTAGAGCAGGGACAGAAGATGCTACCCATGTATTGCCATTTTATTGGTTTTAGAACTTTTAGGGCGCAGAATGCGGGAGGACATTTCCGTCCTCCAATGGGATTTGATTTGATTTCGAAAGAAGGGAGAGCGAGCCAGAGCCCATAGCTTCCTTTTTGAAAGTCTTGAGGAGAGATGTGTGTGAAAAAGAAGGAGAGAGAGAGAGAGGAGCGCCATGTATCTTTGCCACTTCTAGTTTTAGACCTTTTGAGGGCGCAGAAGGCGGGAGGACATCTCATGCCTCGAAATGGATGCAATTTGATTCAATTCGATTTTGAAAAGAGGGACAGCAAGGCACAACCCATGGATCGATTTTCGGAAGCCTTGAGGAAAGACGTGTGTACGAAAGAGAGATAGGAAACACCATAATTCTGGTTGTATGTGATTTGGATTTTGAGAGGCGCAGAAGGTGAGGACATGGCGCCGGTCAAGCGCGTCTTTGATGTGATTTTGAGAGAAGGGTGAGGAACAGCCCTAAACAGATTTTCATAGCTTCTTTTCGAGAGAGAGTATGAGTTTGTGATGAGAAGTGAAGGACGAGAAGTAGAAGGAGAGTTTATATATACACCTCCATCACGTGTAGCCAGTCATGCATACCCGAATACTGACATGAGTTTACGATATATATTTTCGAATTCATATACTCATCACCACACTCATCAGAGTGTCATATCCATCACACAACCACACACATAATCCTCCCCCACCACCGCAAAACGCCATCCACACCCATCCCCCACCTAAAGTTTAGCGCCCGAGTGTAGTCACTCCCGCATATTAACCACGCAACGAATGCAATCCCCAGCCTTCATATCCGAGAACGCCTCATTAATCTTGCCCAGCGGCTGGCGATGCGTAATGAACTCATCGACCTTGAGGTCGCCGTTCATGTAGTCCGCAACCAGGCCGGGGAGCTGCGTGCGGCCCTTGACGCCGCCAAAGGCACAGCCTTTCCAGACGCGGCCGGTGACGAGCTGGAAAGCTGGAGTGTGTTAGCATTTGAGGTTTAGGTGTATATGGAAGGGGAAACGTACGTCGTGTAGCGATCTCCTGGCCCGCGGCCGCAACGCCGATGATGATGCTTTCTCCCCAGCCCTTGTGGCACGCCTCGAGCGCGGAGCGCATGACATGCACGTTACCCGTGCAGTCGAAAGTGTAGTCGCAGCCGCCGTCTGTCATGTCGACGAGTTTTTCCTGGATGCTCTGGTCGCCGAGTTTAGTGGGGTTGACGAAGTCTGTTGCGCCGAACTTCTTGGCCCACTCTTCTTTCGAGTCGTTGACGTCCACGACGATGATCTTGCCGGCCTTGTTCTTGACCGCGCCTTGGATGACTGATAGTCCGACGCAGCCCGCGCCGAACACGGCGACGTTGGAACCTTCCTCCACGCCGCCCTTGCCGGCTGTGATGGTGGCGGCGCCGTACCCGGTCGTGATGCCGCAGCCGAGCAGGCATGTGCGGTCCATGGGCGCCTTGTCGGTGATGGCGACGACGGAGATGTCTGCTACGACGGTGTACTGCGAGAAGGTCGATGTGCCCATGAAGTGGAGGAGGTCCTTGCCCTTGCACTTGAAGCGCGATGTGCCGTCGGGCATGACGCCCTTGCCCTGTGTAGCGCGGATCTTACCGCAGAGGTTCGTCTTGCCCGACTTGCAGAACTTGCACTCCTTGCATTCTGGTGTGCTGGGCGTGTTAGATGGCGCGTGGGTGAGGTGTGGAACGAGAGAACATACTACAGCGCAACGACGTTGTCGCCGACCTTTACGTTTGTGACGCCCTCGCCGATCGACTCGACAATACCAGCTCCCTCGTGCCCGAGAACGATGGGAAAAGCACCCTCGGGGTCCTTTCCGGAGAGTGTGTAGGCATCGGTATGGCAGACACCGGTGTAGTAGATCTGGATGCGGACCTCGTGCGCCTGAGGGGGCGCGACCTCGATATCCTCGATGGAGAGGTCCTTGCCAGCTTCCCAAGCAACCGCCGCCTTGCACGTAATCGTCTACATGAAGTCAGCCATCATCCAAACATTCTCATCGCCATTGACGCGAGCAACCACTCCACACACCTTTCCAGTAGTATCCGACATGTCGACTATGTGTGTATATACAGTTATCGCGAAGTAAAGTCAAAAAGTCGTGGTGAGAAAGTCCCGAGCTTTTGTACAAGGAAGCGCATCGTCATCAGTCCCAAGTCCCGGGCCCCTCCATGCCCCTCACCTCGCTCGCGCACCACTATCGGGCAATCGGCCCTGCTCCATAGCCTCGCGCGAGACTCGCCGAACTCGCGAGAAGGTCGGACTTGTCCACAGTCTGGGGTAACTTCATTAACATTACGGCGTGATTGGCTGGCGATGTCGGGGCTTGTTTTCCTGATGCGCGGTGTTGGACCTGGTGGGCGGACTTGGCAAGCGCTTTCGAACTACTTTGCTACATCTGGGTATTGGGTGCGGGAGGTGCGATTTTGTCCGTGAAGATGGGTGTATACACATCGGGCTATTTGTGTCATTTTGTGTTGTCGGATCATCTGTCAATAAGCATGTGGCTGGCTGTACATTTTCCAAATATGATGATGCAAAGTCCGAATACCCTTGGAGGAGGGCAGGGATTGGAGAAGAGCCGCACCATGTCCCGCTCTCTCCCACCATCTTGCCGAAACCACATTACCATCACATCCACACCTGATTTCAAAGCAGATCTTTGAAACAGCGAGAGGGTATAAATTCGTACTACAGCTAAGAAACATGTCTTCTCCCACCCCTCATACCGCAGGCGTCGTCCCTGCATGTTCCTGACTCAGCCTCTCTGGAGTCGTCTTCCCGCTCGTCCTCAAACTCGCACCGGCGTTCCCTTCTTTCGCTCCCTTGCTTTTACTCCTCAATCGTCGTCCCCAGCTCGAACTCCGCCTTCCCCCTTCCAAATGCTTAACTCCATGACTCCACCTCTTCCGCAGTGGCGGCCTCGTCCCGTCCAGGCCTAACAAGCCCCGTAATTCGTGCACCTCGACATGATCCCGCGTGTTCCGCATGCGATGCGCCCATGTGCACTCGCCGTCCTCGAAGAGGAACTCCCCACCTACCTGCTTGAAGTCGCCGCCTTTCAGCGCGTTCTTGCCTGTGCCCAGACTCTGGAACACCGACTGCACTGAGTTGATGAGCATGTGGGTGTGGATGTATTCAGGCTTCGCGCCAAGGTTGTATGTGCGTGTCATGCCGAGGATGTCGTAGAGCTTGCGCGTGGGGTCGGCGTATATGGGGAATGGACAGGACGTCGCTTCCGTGTACATTTGTATGAGCTCGGGGCGACCGCAGCCGATGACTGTGATGAAAGTGGGCGTGGGCAGTGCGAGCAGGTCGTCGGGCGTTATGGAGGAGGCGATGGTGCGGAGGTATTCCTGGCAGTTCTGTGCTAGTCAGCATGTGTGCCACAGTCGGTGATGGTTGGGGTGTGGAATGCGGGGAGAAGAACTTACCCCACAGAAGAAATGTCTGATGAAGATGATCAGCTGTCTCGGCGCAACGCCCTCTCCCTTGTACAGCTCCTTGAAGGGTATGCTCTGCCCTTTCGCATCTAGGACATGCAGATCCTCCACACTGCTTAGCTCCTTCTCCGTCGGAATATGGTTGTCGACCTCCACATTGCCTTCAAATTCCTCCTGCCCCTTTGCGATCGTCGACGCATCGTTTGTCGGCGAGAACGGCGGTGTGGTTGGGACTGAGCGGTTGGAGGACATGGAAGCTTTAGGTTCCGCCTTGAGCCCTGATCGTGAGGGCGGCGGAGAGGGCTGTGCGGCTGACGTTGGCGGCGCGAAATCGGTCGTTTTGGTCTGTGAGGGCTCCATGATGGACGTGTTATTGAGCGGTTGAAGAAGGGAAGAGGCACAGATGTGGAAGCAAGGGTTGCGCTTCACGGAAGAGAGGCGTGCCGAAGCTAAATGCTACTGGCAAGATGTCGATCGCTGCGAGGGCTAGAACCAGCCAGCGTCTTGATAAGAGAGGAAGATGTGAAGTGGAGAATCCACGCAATCAGTGAATAATCGAAGATATACTACACGTCGTTTGTGTCATGTGTGCCTAAAGCTGGCGACGCGCGCCAGGTTTCGACGAGCTCTGGCGCAGGCACACGACGTCAGCGGCTGTCGAAACCCGATCTTAGTCTCCGCTGTCACATTAGTTCGGGGGTACATTGGCTCAGGGCAGTCGTCAAATCATCTACTCCTTGACACTTCGAAAAGGTGCCCTTGTCATAGTGGCTCCTCCAGACTTGGTGTCGCGATATGAGGGTTGTAGGATTTCAACTGTGTGTCAGATCAGGGTCCTGGCACAGCGATCGGCGCTAGCTGAGCGGGGGGACGCGACTTCCATCTTCATCTCAACATCCTGGAATCATCTTTTCCCAACACCAAGGATCTCAACACAATTATGAAGCTTTACAGGGAATGTGTTTATTCTTTTTTGTAACTCAGCTGGGCATGAATCACGGCCCTTCTCATCCTTCACGTCTTCATCGTCGCCAGTTTAGCCTCAACGCGCTGCACCACCTCCACATATCGCTTGTAGTCAGGGAAGTCGGTACCCTGAGACAGTTTCTTGATCTCACACGCTCTGGCTGCCGCAGCCCCTGCCATCTTAAAGTCACTGTTGAACTCGCACACGAGGGCGATGTCGAGAAACCTAGAAAGCGTGAGCCAGAGAACCGTTCATCATGCACCCTGGCGACTACGGTGAGACGCTGAAGAAAACGAGTTCACTTACACACTAGCCAGCCTAACTGTATTGTCGCCTTCCTCCAGATGGATGGCCGCAAGTTGAAGCAGCTTGGCGACGAAATCCGGCTGTTTGGCACCCTGTTCGAGATTCGGCCCACGTAGAAATCGCACCTCACGATCAAGCTCCTGCAGCCTAAAGCGCCGCTGAGCACTTTTGTATGCGAAAGTGTCCTCATCATCTTCATCACCTGCGCAGGCTGGGCAGTCGCACACGAAGCCATAGTGCTTGAGCTCCCACGAGCGAAGCCTCTTGTCGTGGACCATGTCACAGTACGAAAGCGTTATTTGGTCGCCCGCCTTGATCTCACTGATGGTATGGATCGTCTCCTTGCCAATCGCCGAGTTCCAGGAGAAGCAGGCATTCGGATTGCAGCTATGATTGAAGCGCGCAGCGTGCGGGAAGACGGCAGCACCCTTGCCCATCTCCATGCAGTTCGTCTGGAAGATGCTGATGAGCGATGGCTGCTTTCCGGTTCTGGCGTCGTGTTGCTCGGAGATTCGCTGTCGCTCGCGGCCGGTCACCGTGGGATGAATCTGCGACGGCCATGCGCGGGGATCTTGGCCGTGGCCGGAGTGCAGGGTGAAGTAGAGCGCCTGTTGCTCGGGTGATAGTATGTCGAAGGCCGCTTGAATGTCGGACTGCACGTAGTCGGCGATCGGGACGATGAGCAGCGGGTCTTCGGCCAGGATGCGGGTGCCGAGCGCCAGTCGCTTCAGCGCGAAGCAGCCATAGCCTTTTCCCGGCACGGCGCGGACCTCGTAGTAGTCGTTTTCTGCGACGGAATGTGAGCTCGAGCTGGACAGGTATGTACCTAATAAACACAACGATGTTGCGCATCTTTTACGCGAGGAACTGCGTATGTATGGTGCTCACCTGGCGCCTTGATCGACTTATCCGCGGATGTCATGTTGAAGTATGTGATTGTAGCGGTTGAAGTGTTGTGGAGATGCTTGTATCGAGTTCAAGGTGCCGCAATTGATACAGTAGGTGAGATTGTTTGCTCAAACGCAATGCGGTGAGCCGTCGCGGTTTCCGATATCGCCATGGGCAACGCACTCACTCACTCGCTTACCTTGTTTCTCACCTGGATATGATGAGCCTGGAATTTCTCGCCAAATTACTAGACTTGCTGCTCCCAAAATCCAGTCTGTAAGAGCAAAGCAAGCCGTCCCTATACTGATCGAGATCCTGAATGTACAGCTACACTCCATCGTGGATGAATGAGAACAGTTTCGTAGCTGATGCTAGCCTTAAACATCATCGTTCGATACTTTTGCTGTCTGCACCTTCCAAAGCGCTTGTGTGAACGCCTCTCAAATCTCAAACCACGAAAACCATCGCAATTATCTCCCAGGTACGACGAAAGTATTTCGTTTGACTGGTCACTCACGATACCGATGGCTGGAGCACTACGACTCTCAAGCACGTCCACGTCAAAGTCTTATCCAGTTCTCGATGAGCACAAACTTCGTACATCACCACCACCCCAACACGATCAGCCATCACCGCAAAAGTCAAATGCGATCACAATTTCAAATATCGATAACATTCCAGATGCTACCCCCCACTATCTTACCCTCTCCCCTCACGAAACTCCCCATCATCTATCAACATACAACATCCATTCCAGACTGTCCAGCAGCCCCGTCCCCTCCCCTCCCCTATCTCACTTATTCATCTTCGGCGCAAACTCGCACTCCGGGCACTTCATCGCCTTCTTCCGGGTCCCCGTCTGCTGCATCCCGTCGCAGAAGTTCATGGTCCGCTTTACTTGGCAGTTTTTGATGTCTTTTTCTGTGTGGTCGCAGCCGAGCCAGATTATGAGGGTGTATGTGCACATTTCGGTTGTGTGTAGTGTTTTGGATTTGTGGAAATTTGGTTGGTTGGTTGGTAGTGCAGATGGAGATGTGGTTGTTGTTGTGGTATGATATAATATGTTAGAGAGAGCGGATTTGGGGACGCTTTATAGGGGGTAGGGCGTTCAAGGGGGTGTGTATTCAAAGATGGGAGTTCGAAGGGGGATGCTTGTGATGTTGGCGTGATTCGTTGGGCGTGGGAATTCTGGCGCGGTTGTATATGGAAGTTTGTCTTCGAAGAAGTCCAACGGTGCGTCAGTGATGATATTTTTGGGGAATGCACGCCGGAAACGTAGGTCTGTGTATGATTCCAGGACACAGTATTGAATATCTCAGTGAATAACTTGAGGTGACATTTGTTGCAAGTAACGAACGTTCCTTTGACATTACAATATGAGATATGAATGTACACGCCCAACGCCTACACCTCACTTCATCACCCAACCCACCAGCAACCCCGATCACACACCCAACACTCCCACTTCAATCTCCTCCCTTAACTCCCCCCGTCAACCCACCCTCCCCAACCCCATACCCCCTCCTCCGCCTTTCCCCCGACTCCCTAACTCTCATCTCCGCATCCTCCCTCTCGCTCTGCACCCTCTCCCTACGCTCCTCCTCTTCCACAGCACCGAATGCAAGACTTGCCATAGCGATACCCCATATCACGCCTCGGAGGAGTTTCTTTGTCACCTCCTAGGCGGTTGACCGTAGGAAGGCGACGAGTGGAGGGGTGGCCTGGATGGGGGAGAGGGGCAGATAGGCGCGGAGGGTTGTGTGTGTTGTGAGGGGGGAGCCGCGGGGGGTATGGGTGGCGAAGGGGAGACGGGTACGGGTGTTGAGATTGTTTGGTGTGATGCTGGATCGCTTCAATAATGTAAAGAATGATTGGTTTCGTTGGTTCGAAATGATATCAAATTCAATATCGGGTTGTGTGATTTTATGCAAGTTGAACCATGAACTTGGGAACCTTGTAAGTTGTTGGCGGGGAGGTTTCGGGGAAACGGTAGCTACAGCTCGGTATGACTTGGCAGTTGCGATTCGGAAAGGAGCCAGTGGGCCTCCCTTGACATGGGACTTGTTCGTTCGGTCTCAAGTATAGCAAGAGCATCCAGTGTCCAAACTATCCAATCCTAGCAACCTTGAGATCATCATCCAAATACTAAGGACGAATCATTGCACGTTCAATGGCTTCTGTCTCCTTTGCAGTCGAGAATATTTGCACCTCGCCTTTCAACTTAGGCTAGTGGTTTTGGACATCTCAAGGATATCAATCGGACGAGAACAAATAATCCCTTGCAACAACATTCAGCATACGTAAATCGAGAAAGTTGCCCAGGTCTGCAGAGGGCCTCAACATAGACTAAAGAGAAAGCTATCTTTTGGGTGGTAGGATCACACATACAATGATACGATAGACATCAAGGGTGACCGGATCAAGTGGTAAAAGTACATTGGTTCTATTCGAGCTCACTCATATGGAACTCACTCATATAGCGAGTCCATGGAAAAACCTTGAACCTGTGCATGTGAATACAAAATCCATGCCGCCTAGTATTCATCTGTACCGGATCCCACCTTCTCCTCAGGTATCCAATCTCTCCATTATTCCAGATGCAATGGCATTTCTCAGATGTGCAAGTCCTGAAGGCGTCATATACACGTACAGAAAGATCATGTACCTACGGCATTCCAAGCATCGAAAGCAAGACATACTGAAGATATCCAGACTCCATTATCCCTCAGATGAGACGCCGTCTTCTCATTTGTCGGCAAGAACAAAGCTCTCGCGAGTCCAGCCGAACCATTTGTTCATTCGACGGCCCATCGACTGCAACATAATCGCGTCGATTGTAGAATCGGGGTGCGGGCGATGGAAGATGATCTTCCCTTGATCTTGCTCAAAGATCATGATAGAACCTCCCCCGGACCTCGCAGCGAAGCCGGCGTTGCACATTGCGCCTACGAAATCTTTCCAATCGACTTCGGCTGATCGCTCTTGAAGCTCCACCGGGAACATTCGGCGGAACACCTTTATCGCGCTCTTTGGCACACCGATGTATTGTATGGATGGTTCTGGCATAGTGGTTGACTCATCCTTCTTGGCTTCGGAACTATTGGAAGTTTCTCCGCGGGTTTTGGTCTTCGACTTCCGTTCGACTATCTGAGTATTGGGATTGCTCGTGTCTGTGAAAGGCATAGGCAAGAACACGTCGTTGTCAGCTAGAGTCTTGCGTTTGGAAATATCTGAGAGAACTGTTTGGCGTTTGCTAGCTAGACGTTCGTGATAGTCTTCACTCTTCCAAAGCCCCAGAACCTGCAAGGAGTTCGCCGTGTCTTCTTCGCTGAACCCACACCTCGCGTGCCAAGTTTTGAAGAGCTCATGCATGGAAGCCCAAAAGGTCTTGAGCATATCGTGATTAGCATCGAACACTGTGAGCCATTGATAATTCTTTCCTCCAGCCGGCGCTTTGGTTTTGTCAAAATTGTTGAGAGCTTTAGTGACATCGCCGAGGGCACCGAACTCCGGGATGGCTAAACGCACCCGTCTCCATCCAGATCTATCATCAGAATTCTTGCAATCGTGCATAGTGCGTTCAGTGTAAGATGGCCTGTGTAGGCGGATGCCTTCCCAAATCTCATGCATCGTTGCGTAATCCGAAAGTCTCTCGAGGAGGATACCGTCTATCTTGCGGATTTCCTTTTGGTCGGCAATTTGGAGATGGTCGTCAAGCAAACCGAGAACTACTGTGTGCGGTATACGCGTTGGAGTGCGAGGTTCACCGAGAAGATTTCCCAGGCACCACCACAGTCGATCTGTTTTGTATGCGTCGGCAGGGTTGGGCTTGTTGGGGCTGTCCTTAAGAGAGGAAATCATCTCTGTCTTGGAAGAACGGGAATGGTGGTACATGTGATAAAACGCTGGGCGTGCGCGTAAGAGTGCTTGTAGTTGCTTTCCACGCTTGTCGATACCTTGCACCAAGAGGGCCTCAAGAGCTCCCAGTGCAAAGTTGACTTTAGGTGGTAATGGAGACCCTGGCGCAATGTGATCTCGAAAGACTCGATACATATGTCTTGTGTGCTCCAGCTCCACCAATATACCCTGCCAAAACCAATACATCTCGACCATGGCCTTGATCTCTGCTAGTGTTATCTCTTTCATCGCATTCTGACTGTATAGCATCTCGGAGCCGGGCAGCTGGCGAACAAGACCTATGTATCGTCTGAAATACGCGGGCTCGGTTTGGAGGAGCCAAAGTTGATCTCCAACGTTGTCGCGTCGAGCTTGTACCTCCACCAACGAGGCGTCTAGATCGAGTTTCGGTGCAGGCATGAACGGCTGATGAACGTAGCTGGACCAAGAGAGGTGTGCTTGAGGCGAAGTCCAGGCATCGTGTAGGTATCGAGTCATCTTTTCCATGCCCACCTGAGAATCCACAGGAAGAAGTTCCACGACTTGCTCCAAGATCCGACGCAAAATGCTCATCAGCGTGGCCTGAGCTTCGATCAAAAGACTTGCGCGAGGGAAGCCTATCGCGTCACATCTATGCGCTACAGATCTCTCCCACTTCCTCAGAGCTCCGTATGACTGACCATACAGCATCACACAGCCGGCGTTGTACTCCAAATCGACCCAGCCGCATTCCCAATAGAGCGTCAACTGCTCGTTATCGAACGGTGCCCACTCTTCCAGGGAAGATATTGTACGTGCCTCTGCAAGCCCGATCATTGTGGCAGGGTGTGATGCGAGTGTGGGAATGTTGAGATACGGTAGCAGAAAATGTTGTCGATTTCGCAGTCGGTCGGCCTGTGTCTCGAGCATGAACTGTTTGGGGTCGAGTTCTGGTCTTAGCGCACGTTTTGACCTTTCAGATTGGTAGTCAAGCATGGCTTCCTTCGTATCTGCGAGTTCGGGGCCACCTTTCTGAGGATTGCCTCTCGGCCAGACCGGCGACGCGTCCGCCACCATGTAGAAATAGCGTTTCCATGCTGCTGGAGCGTAGCATGTATGGCCTCCCGATCCAGATTAGCTTGGGTAACGTAATTTGCGAGCTTCTCCTCTGCTTCCACATCAGTCAGGGTCCTTGCGTAGCCATGTTCGTAGAATCTCTGTTTGAACACTGGCCGATACTGAGTCTGACAGATTTCGCACTCGCATGGTGCTGGACATGACTTGACGCGGTATCCCGCCGAAACTCCATTCTTTTCCCATTCGGATTGTGGGAGTCCATATGCTGGAGCATGTCTGGTGGCTTCCATGATAGACGTCATGTGCCTCGGGTGAAGAAATTTTGACCAAAGTTGAGGTTATTGTAGGCAAGGGGGAGAGTGGAAGGGTAATACAACGTGCTGGCGTGAGCGAGGACATATCTATAAACGCCAAGCCCCGGGGAGACAATTGTTTGCGCATGTCTAGGTGAAAGAGAGAAGGTTCCACCGCAGTCTGCGAGAAACCACAGTGGTCAAACTTTCCGGTCCTAAGGATGGTGAAAGCAGGTGTAAGACCTGGGAAATCCAACGCGCTCAGAGGTCCGGAAACGGGAACTATAAGCCTTTGAAGATATATACTCTTGAACGACATTGAACAGTCTCTAGGGGCGGATAGCTACCTAAACTAAGCAGCATCTTTGGGTCACTAAGCAACCTGTGTCTTGCAAACTGTGTCTATCCGATCAATGCGAGGTCCTTGTGCGCCGTGAAATTCCACCGAAGTCTCATGAGCTAGGCCGTAGAACCCCATATACACGCCCATATCTCACAGATAGCTTTTGAGTTTCGCGATAAACCCATTGGACTCTCGCGACGCGGTATGTATGAACAAGTGAAGTTCTTGACCGTGCTCACTGAGGTACCGCGTCGGGGTAATTTACACCGGCACCGGGTATTTTACACCGCAGAATTAGGTAAATTTACACTTTACACTGCGTGCAGGTAAATTTACACTGCGTATATATATACTTAGTAATTTTCTTAAATTTCTTATTACTGGTACTACTATAAATCGCAACAACGTTGCTCCGGCCTACCCCACATAAGCTGAAAACTCAACTATTAACACTATCTCATCTACACGCTCACGATAGAGCCTACCTACGAGCCTACCTACGAGCCCACCCACGATGGAGCTCACGATTGAGCCTACCCACGATGGAGCTCACGATTGAGCCCACCACCCACGAGCCCACCCACGAGCCCACTCATAATCGAGCTTAGACTTGAGCTCACAATTGAGCTTGGATTTGAGCTTACAATCGAGCTTGGATTTAAGCTTACAATTGAGCTAGATTTCAACTTACAATCGAGCTGGATTTCAACTCACAATTAAGCTCAAAGTAGGTAGGTTACATAGAAATAAATAGAATAAATAAATAATATATATAAACTTTCTATAAATTTGTAAAAAAGTGTATAATATGTATACTATTAAGTGTAAATTTACCTTACGTTTTACACCGCATTGCGGTGTAAAACGCGGTCTTTCTTCTGTGTTTTTTACACCCCAAAGCTGCGGGGTAAAATACCCGATTTTGTACCTTAGTGGCTATGAAGCCGTCGAAAACATGTAAGCAGCCTACTATCAACATAAGTTATTCGAGGGCCTGGAAATTCCAGCGGTTCATTGTTTGTGTGGGTGTTCATGCTGAGTAGCTGATGAAAGCGTCTCCACAAGCGTCTTGGTATGACGCGAAATTGACGCGCTAGGCGCTTTCACTCATCGCCCGTCACGGGCAAACACCACGATTCGTGTCTCATCGCGCTACGTCTACGACTTTTGGCTGCCCATCATCAGCGATTGCGAGGACACTATGAACGATCGCTCATTTGGCTGTGCGCATGCTGTTCTGCCTTATCACAGCTTGGCACTCCAGAGATAACTGCACACCACCTGCGACGCATGATACCCATGTGATCGAGACAAACTACTGTGATGTTAGGGCCAGAGAGCGTCTTGTCCTTTACAATTATCATCTGCGAGAAGTAGGAATTCTCGACATCAAGCAGGCTGCTTTCAAATGGTAGACTCGTTATACCTAGGAAGGCTTCTCCCCCTTGTACGGAGACCTGCTCGATTGCCTGACAGTGCCAGCATAATTACCACCATACTCCATGAGTCATGAATCCCTAAACTCCGAGTTGTTATTATGGTCGGCATATACGCCATACACGCCACAAGGGATGTGGTGAACTATCGCGCCATACCTTCGCGCGTAGATTGAGCCGCTCCAAATCACAGACACGTATCAGCGACCGTCAAGAGTGTGGAGAACATCGATCACAATCTCTTTGGGATCACCATGGTGCCATATGTATCCGGCATAATGAGTCGGGATCCTAGTCGTCAGTTATTGTTGCGATGATCAACCGCAGACAACGTGATCGGTTACACGGAGCCGCGCGGTAGGCGGCATTGACGGCGTATTTAGTCAATCTTGCTCTGGCAGACTTCGTAACATAACATGACAAAGGCATTTCATTACCGCAAGTACTAGTTTGTGGCTCGGGCCGAGTGATCTGCATAGGTGCGAAGGTCATCGGTTTATTAGCGTGAAGTTACACATCGGACAAGAAGAGGGTGAGTAGAAGAGAGCGGAGAGTACTGTTTCCGAAAGATGCAATAAGACCCGCACTTTGAGAAGATATGGGTTGAGAATGTGTTCCATCTTTCGTCGCTTGATTGGTAGGTGAAAGTATTGGTCGGGTCAGTGGGGAATAATTGCTGGGCCTAGTCATGGAACATTGCGATGCCCATGCGTCTTCAGAAGAAGTGGAGCTCGTTTGCACATACTACTCTGCACACAAGAATAGCTCCGTGGTCCCACCTTGAACATCGGTAGAAGCGAACCCCAGCTCAGACTGCCGACATCTGCAGGGGGTGATTGTATGTTCTGAAAGCTTCGCTTACATCAAGGCCATGCAGAATGCAAGACAACTGCTGTTGGGAAATGTTGAAACTCGCCCATGGCTTTGTGGCGACGGATATTGTAAGACTACAAGCGTGATTGTTAGCTGTTTCATGGCGTTGAGTACTACAACTGACTCGATATGCATCACAGCTTCATAGATTCCGCCTTGGCTCTGCTGACCGTCATACTCATGACTTCAGTAGCTGCCAGGATTGGATTGACCTGCATGGGAAACGTAAGCAACAATATATGAGGAGCTGGTCACACCCGGGTACAGTAGCCGTAAACGACATTTTATATCTCGCGGGTGCGTGAGAACGCTTGAGTTGAAATGCTAAGGCTTACTGGTATATTCAAGTAGAAGCCGTGGATTTGTAGGATGTCTACTTGGGAGTGGCGGGTGGATGTTAGGCTTGAGTATAGTTGCTAATACCATTAAACGAATAATTAGTATCATATGCTCGTTGATATGGAAGTGAGGCTGTGCTTAACCCAAGCCGATCCAATCTGGGGAACGTTCATCGAAAACGTGTCCGAATGGTTCATTAGGCTTAGCAGCGTCTGCTTTTGCTTTTTTGCGTGTTGTAGGGTTTTCTGGATGCGTGACGTCAGTTTCTGATTGGCGGAACAACGGCGAAGAGCGTGACACTGTACGAATTCAATGCAACCGAGCCAAGCAAAAAATTAGGTTGGGCAGCTTACGACTCTCATAGCCAGGGTTCCGCCTGCGAAGCTCGTTCTTCCTTCCATCCTCCGCGGATGCGGGCGCGCAAGCGAAGTTGCGAACGACGAATTGGAGGCGTTCTCGACGCGCCAAACGCTATAGGAGGGTGAACAACAACACAACTATCTTTGGGGGGCCGTCAGAACTTAGCTGCAGGTGCATACTAGCCTAGGGTTTGGAATCAGCATTGCCTGTATTTGTTCTCAGCGACCGGGGACGTCTCTCGCGGTAGATGCTGTACAGCTGGCCGTTCATCCGACCGCACCAACGCTTCGGGCCGCTTGGCGCAAGCGTCGACTATGCCTGAGTGGGAGCGAACTAGCGATCGTCACTCCACCCGCCTCGCCCTGCCTGTCCTGTCAATGCTAAAAGTACCCTGTTTCCCTGACATCTTCTCGCCTTGTGCTACCTGGGCCTCCCACTCTTCCTAACCTACCTCGATTGTCTTCATTCGGCCCTACCCATACGCGAGTCCTCTGAGCCCACGCCTTTCACTTGCTGCCGCTGCGGGTGCGGTTAGCATCCATATCCACGGCACCAATCACAGCTGTTCCCTAGACAACAACCTAATATCCACGCTTTGCGATACATCCAACATCACACTATGAAAAGCTCACCACTCGAACGTCTCCCTACGGAACTGACACAATCGATCTTTTTGTATTCTGGTCTCAACATGGCTATGGCTCAAGCCTCTCATTGTATCGGTCGTCACCTCTCGAATGAGTACATGTACAACGCGGTGTGCGATCAATATCTCACCACGAACCTCGATGATCGTGTCGAGCAGTCCAAGGCACAGACAGCTATCTTCGCTAGTCCGTGGATGACCTGGACTTTCTTCAAGAAATGGATCATCAGGACATATGAAAGTAAGGGTTGCTTGTGTGGCTTAACTCCGGATGAGGGATGTGTCGATGAGCAATGGCCTCCCAACTTTGAAGACGCTACAACGATGGTCTTCTCTCGGGGTCATTTACCTCGACTAGCATTTATTCATGGCCGTCTTCCCACAAAATTGCTACACAAACCATGGACCGAGGACAAGATTCAATTTTTACGGTTTTTACTCTGGCTCACAAGCATGACTGTCGATTGGAAAGATCCAGAGGTTTATCGGTTGGTTTCAGAAGGTAGGCGGCAGGCGTTTCTGGACCAGAACCTCGAGGCAGTAGAACTATTCAATCACAACCGCCGGCTAGGCAAGCCGCCGTGTTTGTCAGCCGTTCGCTTTGCTGTTACAGACGCTGGATGCAACCGATCCATCGTGTATGACACGATACTGTCAGCTTATCTTTGGGGTCTCCGAGGTCACTCCTGGCAATGCTCCGAGCTCGACAAATGGTGTGAGAACCGAATAAGAGTAGGCGATTCGAAGGGTCAGTGGCTTAAAACGATGCTTGATGAATGCCGGCGAAGTCTGTATCGAGGGGCCACGCATTGGACTTACGATGGAACACAATGGAGGCCCGAAGCTCCTCAGGCAGGAGGATCATCGCAAAATGACTGTCACCACGACCCCGATTTTGATATCAAAGCTGGTGATTATGAGGGCGGTCCAACAGACACTCTCGTTGTACACAAACTTGCTTGGAATAAGGTAAGTCTTGGTTCATTCTTTGCTTATATCTTTCGTCGAGAATTACTATTTGTTTTCCGCCATTTCCTCTGCTGTCCGATTTACATCGTCATCTTTCCTATAATTCCGGATGCAATCTTCTCTAGCCAAGAATCTGTCCGTTTACCTTACGCCCGATGCACGGGGCCGCCACCCGGAGAGTATTTGTAGAAAATCTCCAGGATATCGGGACGTAAGGTGCCAGTGGACGACGCTTACATTCAGTGGCCATAAGAAAAGTCCAGTAAGTTCCCGCTCCTAGGTTTGAGCCTTGTTATCAATTCATAATCTTATACTTACCTGTTCCTTGTAGGGATTGTATCATAATTGCTTGTAATGCGTGCACAACAGTCATTCAAAGTACTTCAGCCGTAACGAATTCAACACCAAAGCAAAAGATCCTTCGGCGACGAGCTTCTCTGTTCACTTTGCCGAAATTTCATCCGGCAGTTGCCTAGCACCCGAAAACGCACACGCAAACGCCATCGCACACGAAGCTAAGATAATCCAAGGTTATTGCACAACGAGGGTGGCTTATCGTTCGAACGTTCGGAACATCCACTGGCTTACGCGTAATTCACGATTTGCGTTGGCCTGATATCATGCGACTTCCAGGCCCGCGCATGTACAGCGGTCCAAGTCGGCCGCGTCAAGTGCTGTGCTGGGAGGAAGATGGAGCAACTACGCAACGAAGTATAGCATGGCTTGCCATACCCACCTTTTGTTGAGTGTGATCTTCTGCGGCAATATCTCTCCGAAACCCTGATCCTGCAACTGGAAAATATGTCCCCACTATTCCGATTCCTGGGAACTGTCCTTTCAATCATGTCATCATGTTGCGCATTTTGCTCTTCTTTTCATTTTCATTTGATTTAGCCTCGAGTCAGACCTTGCGATACATTGCTAACCATATACCACACAGAAGGTGAACCAAATGGGATGGTTTTGCAAATGGACCGGTTCTGTGGTAGACGGTGTCCAAAGTGTCCATGCGGTGACTATGGCAGACGTTGGATTGGGTGGCCCTGGCATGTCGTCATTCAACATTGGGTCCATGTGGAACAACTGGGTGTACTCCAAAGACTCCCACAACATGGGAAGAAGCCTTCCGCCGGATTCTGAACGACTTTACAGCAAGTACTTTACACGAATTCCCCACTCCAAACCCCTCATCGAGCGCAAAGCTGTCATAGAACGAACCCGGAAAACACGGAAACGACTGCGATCTCCGAGCAGTAGCGAAGCCGGTCGACACCCGCTGCGTAACAAAGCCAGCTGTTCAGTCATTCCAACGAAAAAGCTCAAATAGCGGATATGTGACTCGATGACACTCTCCACGTAGCGTCAATAGGAACCATTCATGGCACAGACAGAAATATAGGACCCGAGAACGACCCACATATCAAGTCAGTGGTAAACCTGATTGTCTGAGCATGAAACACAAATCGGCTTTGTGGGACAAACGATGTATCGAGAGCGCTCTGCTCATTACACGAATTCGGGTCTTGTGCTTTCGCCGTCCTCATTCGCGAACTCGGAATGATGTTCGGAAAAGCAAATGTGTTGACCACGTCTCCACTCCACTTGGTCTCTGGAAATATCGGCTCATTCCCCATCAACGCGAGGATCGATTTCGACTTCCTCTTCCAACCGTGTCATATCACGCTTGAAAGCATTGCACCCACCTATACGTCGACAATGCAATGTAGACCAGAATTGGCCTTCACTGCCAAGCCGTGCGAGCAGCTGCATGACAGGGGATCCACATTAGTATCGAATCGCACGACAATGTCGGGTAGCCTTGTGCATGATCTGTAACCTTGATGCACATCCCCTGCCACACTCACTACAAGTAGTGCACCGGTAGATACATGCAATCCACGCTCAATGGGCATAACCGCCACAAACGCAAACTCAACTCGAGTGGCAATCTTCACAGTCAGTCTTGGCTCGCGGCGGCCGCGATGCAAGTTACGGCCGTAGAATAATCAATACATAATCCTAATGCATAATTGTCTAATTCACTTTTTACATCCAATCAGATATGAATTTACAACTGCTGACACCCACCCTTTCCATTCACGCAACACCAAATCGACAATCTTCAAACACGCAGCAAATCATACTCATCACCACCAGGGAACCACGTGTGCACAGATGCAGCACGGCAGTCCCGTATCGCGTGCATGTACAGCTAAGCCGCAGATAGGCCCCCCACCCGCGCGCTAGTCTTGCTATTGTTCTCGTCCCGACGGGACGGTAGCCTTACGCGAGCTCTGTGACAAGGTTGCAGAAGCGAGATTGGCGCCTAGTCTTCCATCCACGATGAAATATGAAGCCGTTGATGTAAACGAGATGAATGCATGGCCCCACTGAGTATGAGATGGAGTTGCATTGAGGTTTTGACTGTTGAGGGAGGTGGTATGATGGGGTGCGCGGTGGCTTGGATTGCGAACGACACCACTATCTTGTTGACGTCATGCTCTTAGATCCGCAAGGTTTCTATAGCAGTGGCTGGAGAGGCTGAAAACTTAGCACCAAATGGCTTTGTTTGAGTCGTGTTAGCTACCGCGACGACCATACTTTGCTGCTTCTAGAAAATGGTCCTTCGAACAACTCGCTACCTATCGCGTACGCAACGCCACACCCCCTGCGCCGAGTCCGACCGGCGGACGCAAGGGTGGTGGTCAAAATGCCCCACAAAGCGGATGCCGCCCCGTATTCACTCTCTTCGGCTCCACGGATACGGTGGACTACCCTGGTAAATTCTGTGCTGTGCTTCCCCTTGGGGATTGGCTGTGTATTGAATGGTATTCTATTTCCACGAATCTTGGAAGGGCGCGTGATGCTACTACGCGACTAGAGACGTATCCACCTGGAACGACTCTCTACTTTGGTTCAACGACGGTTCGACAGTGTTGAGGTCTCGTTGACTGCGAGAGTGAAGGATAAGAGTACAGCTGTTCGACCTACCGTTCATAACGCGATCTTCAGTTGTCGATAAAGATTAATGATGTGCCAGTTTAAAAGCGTCAGTATGATATTCGTTTTTTCTTAATTCTAATAGGCAGTGTTTCTCCCTTTGCTATACTGAAGTCTTCTTCGTACCACGGACGACCCACAACGGATCAAGATGACTGGGCAAATGCCGCGAGTTGACAAGGACCGTTCCATGGTCATCTGTAAGGCGCTTCCCGTTCGCGTCTCGCGCACACAAGTCGACGATTTCTACATCCTTCCAGCCCGAGAAATGCAAATAGTCTAGGTTGTCAGCAACATATCCTCCGAGGCAGTCAAGAAATCTACATACCACCCACGAACTCCAGTCTCGACTGCTCGGATAAAATCCTCCATCGTCCAACGACCTTGTTTGGAAAGCAGCGGTTGCTAATCACCAGGTGTATTTGGCCACCCTCGTTCGTCGCATTCCAAAGATTTTTGCACACTTCGAGAGGCTTGTTCAGGTAGTCGATGCTGACTACACATGTTACCGCATCAAACTTTGTGTCGTCTCCGAGCCAGCCAGCCTTCACGTCGTGTGGCGGCTTGTTCAGATCCATCACCTTCCAGTGACTTGCACCTTGAAAGACGCCATTGATCTTCATCTCCTCCGCGTTTAGACCAACGCCAAAGACTTCCAGACTCTTTTTTTGGATTGCTTCTTTCACGCCGGACGGATAGAAACTCTTCCAACTTGTGCAGACGTCGATGATCTTGCCAGCTCGTGGGAGCACACCATCATAGTACTCAGTCAATCGTTCGATAGATGGGTCGTCGATGTGCGTTACAAGTCGGGCCTGCTGGTAGAAAACGCCATCGTCGTCTTCATCGTACCGCCGAAAGTCGGACGCATCGTATGGCCAGCGGTCATACTTGGGTTTGTATGGCGTAGCTGGGAAAGCGCTCGCATGAGGGAGTGCGGTGCTAGTTGTTGACATGGCTCCGTATGAGAAGAAGTTAAATGTCATGGTGCGTTTAAATATTGGACTGGGGCGCCATTTGTGTGCGAGGGCTGGCCGGAAATACTGCGTAGGCCTCCAGAATGACATGTACAGGACGTTTCCGGCACTTGAGGAGTATAGTTCAGCCAAACGTAGAGTTTGCGATGTGACGAAGGTGCGCGTTGCCACGAGTGAAAGTGATGATGTCATGATCACGCGTGTGCACGTGCGCGCGTAGAAAGTCAGCATCACAGCATCACAGCAGTAGATCTCGTAGATCAGAAGAGTTAAGGTCGCAAATTGACAAAAATGTATAACTCCTATAAACGGTAGTGAAAACAGGAACACGTAGTTAATCGCAGAACGTCGTGAGACCAACTTCAAACCACCCGGACCTCGCAGCCGAACAAAGCAGAAGCGAAACGTTTCGTGCGCGGGATCTGCTAATAACAAACACAACAGCTGCAAACCGGCCAACACGTTTACATCAGGGAAGACTTGCTCTCCTCATCTAACTCCGCATCCCCTCCTTCCACAATCCAAGTCAACCACCTTCTCAGCCCCTTCAACGCGAAGCCATCAATCTCGACCCTCGCTGCATCTCCCCACTGCACATCCTTGGGCCACCACAGCTTATGTCCTGTAGGACTCTTCAAGGCGATGCTCTCCCCAACCCGATGCATCGCGTCGAAGTCCCCGGCCACTACCTCCGTGATACTACCGTCTTCGTCCACAGTGATGAAAACATTCGGCGGCCGCAGATCGCAGTGCACCATGCCGAGCGAGTGTAGGCGATCTACACCCTGCTGCACGAACTCGCAAATCTGCTCCACGTGTCGCATCTCTATCGTGTGCTTACTGCGCACGTACTGACACAGGTCCATCGAGTACCGCTTGTATGCGATACCTGTGACACGATTCCATGCATCTACTACAACGCCCTTGTATTGAGCGATGTTGTGGTGAGAGGGGGCACGGAAGAGGAATTCGCAACGGGAAACCTCGCGGCGGACCAACTGGGCATGCTTGTCTGGGCAGCCCTCCTTGGTCCAAGCCTTGCGCTTGAGGGTTTGCTGTGTTTTGATGAACACAGAGGGATCCCCCTTCACTGGCCCCTGGTACTTGGTCATGGTGCTGGGGTCGTAGGCCGGGAAGATATGGCTTGGATCAAGCTCTTCTAGTATCAGCCCGTTCTTTTCAGCGGGATACTCGTCCAGGTGCCAATCTGGGTTCCATGGCTCGTCGTCCAGGAGAAAGATCTTGCCCGTGGCGTCGTCGGTGAGCATGAAGCGGTGTACGACCTGGTCGTACTCTTCGATGATGCGCACTTTTTGAGGACCTTTCGTCAAGGCCTCTTCGGCGGGGGAGTGCCACTCCCAAGTTGTAGCGACCGGAATGGTGCAGGTCTGTGTAGTCATCTTGGATAACGTAAGGTATGCTGATATGAAAATTGTGGTGAAGATATATGGGATGGAAGTAAAGTGTGATGGAACTGTTCATCTCATTCAAGGTGGGCAGAAAGCCTTTTATACAGTATTTCGCTGCTTCCCCTCTTTGCAAAGAGTGGTTGACCCAGACTTTCATGTTACAAATTCTTTCGTTACCAAACTTCGAATAGGAGAGTTTTTGCCCAACCTATATTCTCCAAAATGGTATGTATTCTTCACACGTCTCTAATCCTTCTCATACTGAAACGATAGCTTCTAGTTTTGGAGACTACAGCCAGTTTTACTTATGTATTTCAAACCTCAATTACCTGCCTAGACACCTACAGTGACGCCCAACTCCTTCTTCTGCAGGCCCAAAGTACGCTGAGATCATCCTGGCTCAGGCATCCACGTACCAGCTTTTTCCTCCCAGGGTAGCAAGACCGGTACAGAGTCTACAAAAACCAGCACCGTAAAATGCCACCCAATAACATTGCTATGACTCATCACTATCAGACTTCAATACAGCGGGTCATGTCCATACTTTGCCAGTTGAGTCACAGTACCATCCGCCGATTTGTCGGCAGATTGCTCGCCCAGGATGAGAAGGCAGGCGCAGGTTGGGGGTAAAATCGATTCCCCCGGTTACCATCTATCGTGTTGGTATTTGTCTAACGCCTGCTTCCCCTCGTCATAGGACAAGGCCAGAGATTGGTAGAAGTTCAGTTTCACTGCATGTGAATTTTGCACGTGCGAAATCGCAGGGCTTGACATATCTGGTTGAGGTCTTCAACTGACTATCCGGAATGAACTTCATATCTGTTGAATGCGTTGGTACTTATACCTCTCCCTGACCGATTAACATGTTGTCAGCTTGCCTTGCATTCGAGTCTATATGCGGAGGTTGCACGGCAGAGGAGGTGTTTATAGGTGCGCTTCCCAAAGATTTAGCTCCAGTGCTCGTATGAAACACCTCAAGCCCCCGGCTGTTATGTTATGCATTATCTCGAATGATAAATTTGCCTGCATCAGCGACCGCGTTTTCCAGTAGATTATATGATGTGTTTTCGGGAATTGAAGCAGACATGTATCTGATGTATTCCAATTTTGGAACAGAGGAGCAGGCATGTGTAAAACATCTCCAGGTTCAGAGAAGACGGACACACAAAGCAAAGGATCTAAAATATCCTGAACCTCCAGTGATTGCATGAGCTATCGTGCGATTGCACAGATTCAAATACATCCACGAGTCCCTCTGCAAGTGCTGCACATCCACAATGTATGACATATTTTTCAGTTTGCTTATAAGTAGTTCATAGGTAAACAAAGATCGAATCTTCCATTTGAAACAACAATCCAGAAGTTTCCTTTGCGGATTTGATCCGGTCATACCACCGTGATACGCTAGATTAGTATTGCATTTCACAGGCATCTGCAACACAAGACATACAAACCTTCTTAACCAACTTGCTGTCCTGGCTAAGGGATAGCCGGAGTAGCCGAAGCGACATGAACTCTTTTCCTAAACCTTTCGAAGTGACTTGCAGTAGTATAATTTTGGAGAGCTTAGGAACGAAGACGTCAAGTGCTTAACTGCCTTCCGGGCCGAGAGGCAGTACATGAGGTTTTACCTCTCCGAGTGCAAATATCGTCTTGTTGAGTGGGTGTTTTGGTCCCAGCACACTAGAGGTACGCAACGTAGGTGTATCTAGTTTGAGTACACAAAAGATACTGGCCACTATTGGTTTTGACGTGAACAGAGTAACTATGCAATTTAACATGAACTGATTATTTTGGGAGATGTAGGAATTCAGGATGAAAGGAATTGCTAGGCCTCTCATTTCTTATCAAAGGAGTAGGTATCAGACTCGAGTAAACGAGCCCTGCCCTCAAATTCACAGATTTTCGAAAGCCAATGTAGGAGAAGGACACAAGGAGACAGACAGGCAACGAACATACCAGACTCGACTTTGTAGGGTGTGTTCTTTTCGGTGTCTAAAGGACGAACAAGAGCGTACACATGTGGTCCAGCCTTTAATCTTTCCACCTCAAATATCGTGTTTCCAACCACTGCTTGAGCGGACAGGCAGAACATGGCATATATGGAAGTTCATTTCGGACAAATTTCTCCTTTCATATTACTTTCCTAAGCACCGACCACAAGCCTACATGGTCACGATTTTTCGCTCTTTTTATTTCGAGTATTTTTTGACAACGATCGCAGTCCACAGAGCGAACAGAGACACACACCATACGCAAGTTGAGCAAACAGTTTGAAACCCTTCTACATGCAGTTCTACAGATGCAAAGTACATCCACGCAGAAGCACGTGGTGCTCAAGTCATCTTTACCCAAACACGGAGCTTTTTGAACTATTGCGTAGTCGACAAAACGAACAGACATGTTCTTGAAGAACTCGCTTTCTGGTGTATAGAGAGTGCACAAGCACGCACACATGCGGACAAATCGTTTTGGTTTCGAGTACATCAAGTATCAACTTCTGCCAAAGTTGAACGGCGAATATATTTTGTGGTAGAAAAGCTAAGGAATTAGACCATAGGAGCGAACAGACACATCGGTGTGTTAGACGCGCTTTTCAAGAGATTTTTCACTTAGGTTTTGAGGCAAGGTGGGTAGAACACAAGTTCACGCGGTGCAAGCCGAGCGGGTAGTAGCAAAGTTTGCAGAGTCATGTGTTTTCAAGGATAAATGTACGGTTCCTCAGCTCTTCAGGAAGTAGGTGGGTATCAAATTCGAGGGAGCTCGCCATAACGATCTGTTATGTGGGTTTTTGAACTCTTGATGAGGGATGGAGGCACAGAGACGGACAGAACATCGTCTTTCTTGGAATTTCTTTCGAAAGAAAACATTCCTTTTTAGTGTATGAAGAACGCAGGAGACATTCGAATGTGACATCTTCACTTCAAACGGAGAGTTATTGACAATAGTCAGAATTAAAATACACATGCAATCTTTTTGTGTATGCTTCAGAGAATATGCTTACTAATTGTCGAGCCAAGAAAACCAGCACACATGTCTCATGTGGTTCCAATCTTGAGAATATAAAAGAAGATGTTTCTTCGAGTGAAGCAGAGGTGAGTTAACAGTGGATGTGCAGAAGACAAGACTTCATACGTCACTGGCTAAGCAGGCGTTGGTGGAAGGGTTCTCAAAGAACAACATGCACCCTTCCATACGCATCTTCGAATCGCAAGCTACGTTGTTAGATTTGAGGGAACAAGCCATGGATTTGTCGCGTTTAGCTTTTTGAAAACATGTAGAAAGAAATGGAGGAGACAGGACAGACAGGCCATGGCCGCGACAGCGGCCACATTTTAAGTTTCCCCTCCTATTTAAGGTCTACGAAACGCAAGCACACAAACATATTGCTTTAGTCATCCTGATTCTGTTACACCATCTTTTCGCCATTGCAGAGCCGACGAAGAGCCCGACACGTCATAGCAACGCTTGTTATCGAATTTTGAGAGAACACATACACTTTTCATTACTCCAAGGACGCAAGGACATTCACGACCGGGAACTTCTTTTTGAGAGTGAAAACTGTATTTCAATTGCTAGCAAGGCGAAGAGACAGCAAAGTCATAACGGCGTGAAGCTGCATTTTTGGAAGGACACTTCAGTGTTCCAGAATATGTAGACACACGCACTTGTCCAGGAGGTGGTGTTTTTTCAGGAAATATAATATTTAGTGATGAGTAGAGTGGACAGAAAGACAGGAGAACTATAACAATTCGTTTCAAGAAAACACAGCCGCCGCTGGATATATAAAGGACGCATAAGCACCCTCAAACATGTCGTGAAATTATCAACATTTTTGCATGAGGATGTGCGAAGGCATAGAGACAGCGAAGTCATGACCACAGTAAGCTGTCATTTTGGAAAACGTTTTTGTAGTACCTCAGAAACGCACCAGCACATAGGTTGGTGAAATTTAGGTTTCAATACGATATGTTTGAGCAATAAGCAAAAAGTAGAGGATAAGTCGCCGAGTAGACAGATGAATCATGGCAGTACCAACATGCGAATTCGGCATAATAGATCGAGGGAATGCAACGACATACATTTCTGAATAGCCATCTTTCTTTTCTCACAACAGTTTTCCATTCACTCCAGAGTCAATAGACAGACAGGTAGACAGACACACTACGCCCAGCAAACTAATTGTCGTGCAACCTTTTTTATTGAATATCAATGGTTCGCGCAAACAGACACGCACATTAGCTGTTGTCTACTGTGATTTGAACGAGATAACACAAAATCATAAGCTGGGTCGATAAGGCGGATAGAGAGTCTGAAGAACCACATGCGGCTTTTGCAATAACCTTTATAACTCCCACTGCTCTATAATCTGCCGTACCCTCCAAGCGAGCGACATAGGCACAGAAGATATCTTTTTCAATGGATTCGGGAATTGAAACGACTACCAGTCCAGAGAAACGCAGCCGTCCATAGCAGGTATATAGTAAAATCTCGAGTCCCGCCGCGCCCCATGCGTGATGATTCGGTACGTCTCGGCGGCGGGCGGGCACATACAATCGTGTGGTTTGTGGTTTTGGAAAGACATCGTTTCCAGGAAAGAAGGTTTTAGGTAGGGCGAACGACAGGCAGACGGACATGATAAGCCATGAGTCAGATTTTGGACAAGACATGATTTTTGACGTACACGATTTTGAGTAGGAACTTGACTTTGTGTGTTGCGAATGAGTGAGCGAGGCGGACGAGGCAGCCATGAAGCTCTAGAAATCGATTTTGGAAAGACATTCTGTCCGGGCATCAAGTTTTCAGGTAGAGAGGCGGTTTCATGTGTTGGTAGGTGAGCGAGTTGGCCAAGCCAGGCAGACGAGGCAAACATTTACGGTCTTTGCGCTCATTTTAGAAAACACAATTTCTTTTTGGAGTGGAAGGTCTAAGATTGATAATAAACAGAGACGAAAAAGACCGTGATGTATGCGCGAGGCCAAGGACAAAGACAACACACATGATACATCGACTCGGCTTTTTGGAATAGGATGGAATGGATATCCGCGAAACCCCCCAACACCCCATCGACCCTACAATCCATTTATTCAGTCTCGTCTCATGTATTTTTGTGATGGTCAGTTTCGTTTTGAGAGGTGAATATAAGGATACTGATGAATATCAGGCGAGCAAGGCAAGTCAGACAGACATAAAACTTCTGGGGTCAAGTTTTGATAATTCATAACTTTTGGAACATAAGTTTCAAGTAGAGAGGTGGTTTCGTATCTTGTAATCCGAGCAAGCGAGGAAGACAACAGGCTGATATTATACTAATGTGAAGTTTTTTTTTCATAATGGAAGTCTGTGACACACCATCCAACATGGACCCCACAATCCAGTCTTTTTCGCTCCGCTCGTTTCACTGATTTTCAGAATATCCAATTTTGTTCGGGAGGTATAGGATGACGTCCACTGACATAAAACGAGCGAGGCAAGCCGAACAGCCATAATTATACTTTCGTAGTCTTTGAACAAGACATAAGCAGAGTAAACATGTTTTGTGTAGACAAACAACTCTATTTGTTGCTACTCAAGCGAGCGAGACAGACGACACGCAGTCATGTTCTGGACGTCGAGTGTGTTTTGGAAGATATATCCCTGCGAAACCCTCTACACTCCATGGACCCTACAATCCCCTTTTTTTCGCTCCGCTCATTCCATTCTTCATTATTATGGCCGTTTTTATTTGGAGGTAGATTTCGAAACACTGACATAGAACGAGCAAGGCAAGCCAGGCAGCCATGCCCGTAACCCGAGATCTTTTGAATACATGTCTCTGGAGGCGATATCTCCACATGATTTCGTAATTCATCTTTCTCGATCATGCGTCGTAGTCGTATAATTTTGAAGAACCAAAATAGAAATATAGCAAGGAGACAGGCGAGGAGCCAAACAAAGACATGGTTCGATTGAATGTCAGTTGTTTCTATATCCGACACTGGACTTAGGTTTTTGATTTTAGGGCTGCGGAGGCACAGACACCATGGTCACGTTTATCGGCGTCTTTTATAAAAACAGGCTTAATGTAAAGCTGCAAGATTAATAGGAAGTGTAGAGTAGATACAACAGACCGAAAAAGACGGCTTTTCCCTTGCTAGCTGAACATGCCAAGCAGAAGACAGCACCCATCATCTCAAATGCAAGTTGGTTTTGAATTACATATCCTCAAAGACCCCGTCCACACATGTCGTTTCACTGTAGTTTACTTTCGTTCCCGTTCACATACTTGTCACTTATGTCCTTTGAAAAGCACAGCGGATAGTGACATACAGCCGCTCTGGACGTTTTTGAATCAAATTCTAAACCCGACATTTATCTTTTGTTTCCAGACGAAGGAGCGCAGACCGACATGCATTGGGCTGTGTTCAGATTTCTATAGAAGTTATGTTGGTAGGAAGTTTGCAGGATACAGAGAAAGTAGAGGAGGGGATGTAACAGCAAGCCAAACCCCATTTCAACTATCTCCAGAGACACGACGAGACACAGGGTTACGCGCAAGAACAGACCCACGCAGCACACATGCCTGAAACGTGGATTGAATTTGGAATAGCGAGTATTACATCCCCATATCATCACCGTTCAATCCTTCCATTTCAGTCCACGTCATCCATCGTTGAATTTTGCAGAACAAAAATAATGCGAGCAGTAGAAAGACCAAGCACATCTTGCTGTCCGGGTCACTTTTAATTCTCATTCTCATTCTTGATTGTAAGACATAGACACCATTGCTCGGATGTCAGAGGATTTTCATAAAGACAATTCCAAGTAGGTTCTCAACAGACATATTCCAAGTCAGAAACCCATCAACAATCCAGACGCCAAGCAGGACACATGCTAGCATTCAAGAGTCGTTTTAGAATATATATTTCCCCAAAGTGCGTTGCCGCACATATATCTCCCGTCCAGTACTTTCCCCTCCATCCGCGTGGTGGTTGGTGTTTTTTCGAGTTGGAGTGTCCAGAATAGTACATACAGACAGGAGAGCGAACCAAAACATCGTGTCGTTTTTCTAATCTTTTCATTCGCATAACAAATTGTAATATCGACTTTGATTTTTTGATTCGGAGGCCAGCAGGCGCAGAGCACATTCGAAGATCGGCTAATCGTCTTTGGAAGGAGGCAGGAGGGCGCAGAAGACATGTGCCTGGGATTCGCTGATTTTGATAACAAAAACTTTTGGTGTGAAGATCATAAAGTAGAAAAGACGGAGGGAATCTGGGGTAGATATACTCAAAAACCGCACACGTGACATGCATACTCCGCTATCAAGCGCCGATTTTATTACGCAAACACGACACAGTACCTACGCCTCAAGCACCTCCTTCAGCGTCTTCGCACTCTTCTGCAGCGCCTCCTTCTCCTCACCACTAAATCCCATCTCCACCGTCCTAACCACGCCCTTCCGCCCCACAACCGCAGGAATACTAAGACACACGCCCAGATCCTCCTGCCAGTGGCTAACAGGGAGGATATTCTTTTCATCAAACATGATACTCTTACAAATACTCGCCGCCACACCACCAATACCGTAATTCGTCACGCCCTTGTTCTCAATGATGTTATTCGCCTTGTTCTTCGTCTCCTCGGCCACCGCATTTTTATCTAGTTTGATGTTTGACGGCAGGGCAAGTTCGAGTGGTACACCCCCGATGCTCGCTTTGCTCCATGCGACGAATTGTGACTCGCCGTGTTCGCCGCATACGAACGCTTCGATGCTGCTCGCAGCGACTTCTGCCTTGGCGGCTAATATACCCCGCAGCCTGGCGCTGTCGAGGAACGTGCCTGAGCCGATAACCTGGTTTTTGGGGAGGTCGCTGAATTGCTGGGCGAAGTAGGTGAGGACGTCGACGGGGTTCGCGACGAGGAGCAGGATAGTGTCGGATGCGAAGGGTTTCATGTCGTCGATGGCGGAGGAGAGGATGGCTTTGTTGCGGCCGACTAGGTCGGTTCTGCTTTCGCCTGGGATTTTGTGTTAGCTCGTGTCTTTACTACTGCGTTATATCAAGGGATCGACGCACCCTTCTTCTGCTTTGCGCCTGCTGTCATGACGATGATGTCGCACTGTCCGGCTTCCTTGTGCGTCCCTGCGCGCACGCGTGTGCTGGTGTTGCCATGGAAGGTCGCGTCGGACAGGTCCTGGACTTGGGCATCTCGAACTTCTTCCTTAGGGTCGACGAGCAGGATTTCGCCTGCGACGGGGTTCATGATGAGCGAGTAGGCGATTGTGGCGCCTACGTCGCCGGCACCAACGATGGCGATGGTGGAAGTGAGCTTGGAGTTTGGAGACATGGTGGATGGAATTGTACGTGTTTGAGGAGGTTGATGGAGAGAAAGTGATGGAGAGAAAGAGATGAACAGGCCTTTACATGCTTGGGTTATACGGATGTATTTTCTGGATAGACGTCATCGTGTTCTTCGTCATGGCGCGCTAATGCAGGTGTAATCCGCAGAGTCCGAGGTGGGCCAGCTCCAGTGCTCGTCACTCAGTAATTACTCCATTCCAAATGTTATACTCCTCAAACGCCAGTACTCCATGCCGTGCCTGTAGTGGTATCGTAAGAGTAACGCCTTACTCCGCGACAAACAATGTCGGACATCACACAAACTCAATATCCTCAGCGTTCAACGTCTGTCGAGCGCGTCGAGTCCTCCCAAACAAGGGCTGTGGTCGCCTCTGTACCTTGTGGATGGTGTCTTAGTTCATGTCCCAGACTAAAAATTGCAAAACACAAATGCACGGCAAAATTCATGTACACCAACTATACCTTTGATGCAGAGGCGACAGCACCGGCAGTGACGGCCACCTTCTTCCTCGGCTGCGTGGCCAGACCCTTCTTCAGAAGCAGCGGGATGATGTCAGCGGCCTTAGAACGGTTGATGAACTTTCGGCAGACGGGACACTGGGAGCGTTTAGGTTCGCCGGGGCCGGAGCGGTTTTCGCCTGCGATGAGGGCTTCCATGAGGCAGGTGTGGCAGAAGAGGTGGCCTGGAGTACGTCAGCATGAACAATTTGGTGGTCGATAGAGCGGGCATGTCTCACCACAGGCGGTGGCGGTGAGATCCGTGGGCGTGTCCATGCAAATGACGCAGGTGATGGTGTTGAAGGTGGTGGGCTTCTCTTCGGGCTTAGCCTGCAACCTGATGGCGTCCTCGCGCTGCTTCTGCAGCATGGCCTGCATGGACAACTTGTCGTCGGACAGGTCAATCTCGTCGACCGTCTCTGGCGTGTCGCTGTCACCCTTGACCGCTGAGCCATCCCCGCGCTTGTGTCGCTTTGAGGGTCCTGGCGTGGGTGACTGCCTCTTGCGTCGGTGTGGCGGTGAGTCTGGGGCCGAGGTGAGGTCGACGTAGCCGTTGGGCAGGCGCGCAGGGCGGGCGTCGTGCGAGCGTGTGTTGGTGGGCATGTCGTGTGCTGGAGGAAGCGAGCTGTGGTAGGGGAAGGGCGAGTAGCGGTTGTGGGCTAGGCCGGCGGGATTGAGGACGCGGTCGAGGAAGTTTGCAGATGGCGGCGAGGGCGGGTCGCGTGGGGTAGTGGCAGGTGTCATGGGCAGCAGCGACGCGGCGTCGAGGCCCAGGCTGGCAAAGGTCGTCTGCGAGGGGTTCTGCGAGGGCGTCTGCGAGAGCGTGTGAGAGAGCGTGTGAGAGAGCGTGTGAGAGGTAGGGCGTCGACGAGCCGTAGCTGACTAGAAGTGCATTCTTAGCTGCGTACAGTTAGACTGGCAGCTGTCTCCATGTTAGTAAACCTAGAGAAGAGAGCAGGAAGGTGCAAGCAGGAAAGCGCAAGCAGGAAGGTGCAAGAACAGGAGATAAGTAATGCGCTAGCTATGTTAGGGCAGCTAACCTTATCAACAGGCAGAGACAAGACACACGATGCACGTAGAGTCGCCTGGGCTGCTCGGGTGGTGTGCATGCAATTTAGTGGTCAAGGCCAATCGTAGAGCCTCGACGAGAGCATTAGTCAGCTCTCGATAAGGGCTAGTCATACAAAGTCGTGTGCCTGCACTGCATGTTATGTTCTGTTCGTCCTGTCCAGTTCTGTCACGTAACCATTCATGAATGGGCCAATCAGGTAGTTTCAAAGTAGCTGTCATTTGACTTTGTATTCTCTACACACAACCAATGCAGATTAAGAGGTGTCAAGCACATCTAGAGACCCAGCATTTCATCTTCCATTTCATCTTCCGTTTCATCTTCCATCTCTTTACTCGCAACTCCCTCGCAACTCCCTCACAACTCTCTCACAACTCCCTCACAACTCCTCACAACTCCCTCACAACCGAGATCATGTTCACTGGATCCTTGGAAGAGGGTTGGGTGACGTCGTGATGCGCATGTCAGAGGGCGAATTCTTCGATACATGGAGGCGGCGGCGGTAGTATCCTGTCAAGAAAAGTAGCGGACTCTTGAGCAGTCACATCCCCTCTCATGTCTTGTAAACCTATCTTGATTAGCCTGTCCTGAAACCTTCCTCGCCGAGAATCGAGTTGCGCGCAATGTTTTGTACATACTCGTGTCGTCACCCTTGATCGATTTGTCCATGTGCAGACCATCGATGCCTATGTTTGCAACAATCTTTCGTGTGGAGCAAGTGCCTGTGTCTTGGCCTTAGAATCTATCATGCGCTGCACTTCGTCGTCGTTTCTGTTGTCGGAGACAGACATGGGAACGAACTTCCAACAGTTTTGCTTGGCCTCAATAGCTCGCACAGGACTGTTGAAAGAGCAACAGTCGACTGTTCCAATGTGTTTTGCCAAGTTGAAAAAGCAGTATCGGGTCGGACAGTGACGGGGAAGAAGGAGACTGCACGTGTACTGTTTACTCCGCTGTGAAGTTGTAAACCCCTCCGACGTATGTATCCAAATCCAGGCAATTGAGAAGTGACGAATGAGCAATGGCATTCAGGAAACCTTTCAAAGTCTTGATGGAAGCCTCAAAGCAAGCCCCTTCCGCTTGACTGGTCGCTCTTCTCTTGCATCCAAGTTGATTTTCATTTTGTGGCACGAGAGCCCAGAAGCGAGAGTGAGTCTTCCTAGGCCATAAAGACGTAACCGCAGTATTGACATGGAGGGCGAAGATGTGGAAGCGAAGATGTGAATGTATGCCAGCTCAATGAGTGCAAAATCGCGCGTACAATCTGCAGCCAGCACTCATCGCTGCTCTTGATCAGGCTTTGTGTTTGTCGTATACAAATGCAGTTCAGATTTCGTCTTCGAGACTGTTTCCCGTGAGAAGACAAAGTCTGGGCTCTGTGCGTCCGGTGGAGATGGCATGCCCATGACGTTTGTATCAGTATCAGAATCCAACTACATGAGATTCAGTCGAAACACCAAGATGTATAGTTGTTGAGGATCAGAGCTGAGGCAAAGATCTACAAGACTGCCCTACTGCTTGTTGATAGGCTTCTCGGGCAAATTGCTCAGGCTGGCGGGCATAATCTCAAATGTGGTGTGGAATTCGCCGATGAAGTGCCAGTCTTAGAGAATCGCGGAGAGTAGTCGGGTAAAGTGTACGCCGAATAGTTGGGTATGAAGAAGCTTTGCGATGTTATAGACATTGCTTGCTTGCGCTGATATAGCTTGTTAGGCTTAGGGATTGTAAACCTTGTCCTTAGCAATCTTGTGTGTATCAAAAACATCGCGCTCGTAGAGACGCTGCTAAGTGATGCCCCGCTTGCGAAGGTGAGTCGGCGTGTAGTTACTCAGCTGGATGTTGTCTGAGTGGCCTGGGTGGTCTGGGGCAAAGACAGGAAGTGCTTCTGACTTGTTGAGTATTCTGCACATGGCCTTGACATGCATCGTGCTGGATGGTCATTCATTGTCAAGTCCTCGCGATCTGACGGTTCGGTATGCTGAGTCCAGTTAGTATCATGAATATCCATTTGAGGTATCGTACTCACTATAGTGATAACCAAAGTCTTGCCAGGCCTCCAAACGTACAGTGGAAGCGGGACGTCTCGATGTGCCTTGAATCTGGCGTCTTGTTGTACTAAATCAGGTCAATGTCTGGAATATCCGTGTAAGCCGTCGCATCGTACTCACCAGAGTAATAATCAAAACCATGTTGTGATGCGGCTAGCCCCACACGCAATTGCTGCATGCTCTTTCTCAGCACAAAGCTGGAGAAAGATCCCCTCTAGACCGCGGAATCCCGATAAACCAAATGGTATAGATCACCCCCCCACCAAAGTGATCAGACTGCATGCCCAAGGCATTGTGCAGTCGCCCAAGGTGATACTACAGAACACGTTTACGAAGTGCTAGTATCCATGGTACTGCTCTCCGCTTCTTCAGCGGCGGCTTGCACGTCATCGGCCCAGTTTCTCCTCTCGCCCTTGGTCTCGTCCAGGATCTCCCTCTCTTTCTCGACCTCTGCTCGCTTCCTGGCATCGGCAGCGTGTTTCGCGGCTTGCGCCGCCTTCTTCGCCTCGCGCTTGGACCCTGGAACTGGGCCAGGCGTCGGAACCAGAGGTTGAAGGGTGTCGCCCATTTCTTTCATTGCGTAGAGGCCGGTCGCAGCCGTCTTGGTCGACTTTGCTGAGCGTGTATCCTTGCTATAAGGAGCGCCTTTGCGCTTTCCAGCTGCGTCCTTGGGCTTCTCAGGTGCACCCTTAGGTTTCCCTGGTGCAGCCTTGGACTTCCCTGGTGCACCCTTGGGCTTGTCGTGGGCCGAGATTGACGTGACTTCGAGCGATGGCAACGCCTTGTAGAAGTGGCTCTCTGTTGGCTTCTGAGCCGGAGTGGTTGCCGTCGGAAGTAGTGCGGCCTCGATGTCCACGCTAGAGACAATGTCGCCCTTGTTGTACATGTGGAGAACCAGGTTTTTGAACGAACTGAAGTACTTCTGGTGTATCACGCCTTCTTTCTTGGAGGCTGCTGTGGCTTTGCACCAACCCATGAAGTTACCAGCCGTGACCTGGAAATACTTGGCTCTCGTGTTCTGCACGCACAACGCATTTGGCAGCGCGACGAACTTCATCTTCTCCATGGCGTTATTGGGATCGCGAGCGCAAAGGGACACAAAGACAATGCTGAATTCGCCGCCCTGAACACCCCAGGTTGTGCTCACAGAGCCTTCCGTCAGAACTTTGACCTCGGCAGTTTCCCGCCCGTTCGCAAGGAGCAGGTTACGAATGAATCGCTGCTGACCCTTGTATGGAGTCACGATGCCAATGTCTTTAGCTTGAATCCGAGTGAATCGCGCCGCATGCTCAGCCGAATGTTGGGGAACGTATGCAAGGAGTTCCTTGACAAGACCAGCAATGATTCTCGCCTCTGCTGCATTGCAAAAGGAAGTCGTCTCGGCGTACTTGACTGACTGTGCTTCGTCGTGCGAAACGTCAATGGCGATACGGACACTGGCATGGTTTTTTTTAGCTTTGCCAAGCTTGTCGAAGAACTGCTTTATGGTCTTCGAGACGGGATTGCCCTGCGTCACCGAACTGTGGTTCCGAAGCTTGCCCGCGTAAAATTGACTGTTGGCGTAGTCGCTAAGATCCGGGTGTTGGCGATATTGCTCGAGCAACATGACATAACCGAATCGGCCATTCGGGTCACATACCAATTGTCTGAACAAGGATGTCTCCAGCAATGACAAGCCCTCATTGGCTTTCTTAGCGATCACGACTGGCATCAGTTGGTTGTAGTCGCCAGACATGGTAAGCCATTTGATGGACTCTTTGTAGGGATCGAGTGCCATGCAGACGTCAGGAATCGTCGCCTGACCAGCTTCGTCGACGAAGGCCACATCCGGCTTGAAAGAGCCTGCAATAGTATCGTGGCAAGCGCTTGAACACGTCGTGAAAATGATATCAACCTCGTGTTCGACGAAATACTCCGTACATCTGTCAAGGTTGACTCTCATCTTCTTGGCATCTGCTTTGGCATCTTTGTGAGACGATTTGCCTTTCTTCGCCTTTGCAAGCAGCGACGTGTACTCCTTGACGATAGCATACATGGAATGAGTTTCGATTGATCCCCAACGCTTGATCGCTTGCTCCAGCTGGTCGTGGAAGAGCGAGTCTGGGTTCGCCTTTATCGCGGATAAGATGGTCGGGTTGACAAGTCCTTCAAGATCCTCCACTGTTGCGTTGGGCCCAGCAAGCTTCTTTCGCTCTTGGTAGGTTTTGTATCCACCAACGAAACGGACTGCACGGATCTTGCGTTCCTTGGGCGGTTGAACCGGGGCTTGGCTGTTGCTCGGTGGCTGTTGCGTTGAGCTGACGGAACGGTCATTGTGCTGATTGAAATTTGTCAACGCAGCGTCGACTGCCTTATTGGAGGGACAGGCGTAGAGGACCTTGTTCCCAAGACGGCAATGTTCGTACGCCGCCACGGTGGTGGTTGAAGTCTTGCCTGTGCCAGGAGGCCCGTAGAGGAGTGATAGTCCGGTGCTCGAGCGGAAAGACTCTGTGACCGAAGCGACCTGTTCCTTATTGAGCTTCCAGACTTCCCTGAGACGACCCAAGATCTTCTCAAACGTGTCTTGCGGAATATCCTGTCCAACATTCTGCTTGTCGAGAGCGATCGAAAAGTCGGTTTGGAAGATAACCGCCGGGATGTCTACGCCGTCGTCGCGTTGAAGTTTGGCTTTCGCCATCGACTCTGTGGCAATTCGAGCTCGGTCACCGGATGTCTTGTCGTCGATGAACTCGAGGTGGACTTTGTGTGATTGTTGGCCAAAGTCATTCACCGGACCAGTCATCTCTACGACGAAGTCGAAATCAAACTTTTTCTCTTCTGGTACGTCGTCTGCTTGAGCTTCGACCACTGCTGCCGCGTAGGTGATTTGTTTCTGGCCTGCGGCTTCGAACTTGAGAGTTAGTCGAGTGTCGATCTCTGGTTTCAACAGCTCAGACTCAAATCCAGCAGCGTGTCCAGGCAGAGAAATCTTCGCTAGGTAACCACCAGTCACACCTCCAAGAGGCGTGATGTGCGCAGTGCTCGAACCTTCCGCAGATGCCGCAAGACCCTTGATGAGTGTCTGCTGAGCCTGACGCTCTCTGGCAAGACCAAGGCGTAGCACAAAGGAACAGTCCTGTATGGATGGGTAGTGAGTAAATTTACTGAACGAACTCCATTCGATTGCGCTAAGCTTGGTGATTGGGCCACCTTTATTGACTGAGCAAGCCTCGTATTCCGTGATCATCCATCGAGGGGGAAGCAGATTCTCCAGATTGCATTTGCTCGCGAAGATGTTGTTATCCTCGGCTGGAGACTTACCCTCGACAGGCCTTTCAAGCTGGAACTGGTAGTGCCAGAAGTTCTTGTAGGTTGCGCACATGTACATCGAGCCTACGAAGAAGTTCCTGAGCTTATTGTACAGCTGAACATCAGATTGGTCGAGGCGGCGGAAGATGTCGATAGTGCACGCGGTATCCAGATTGTAGATGGCTCGCTCAAACTCGCTCAGGTCGGGCTTGGTCTTCTCGTCGTTACCCTTATTCCTGATGGCTTGCAGCTCCATAGCGCTCATGCCAGTAAAGATGGGACGACGCTTGTATCCAACCGTGCCAACCGGAACGAGCTCCAGTCGCAGCCTCATCAGGTTCTGGATTTTAGCCAAGTCGACTAGTCCGGAGTTGCCGCGAGCGACTGTACGACCGAACTCCTTGATCGAAGCATCGTCCATCGGCTGGTTCCAGGCACTCATCGAGATTCCAGCCAGCATGCGGGCCTCTCCTTCGCCATGTGCGGACTTGATGGCATTGGCGAAAACCTGGTACTCGACTTCCGACTCCGTCTCTCCAGACGCGTTATCCGGACGAGGGATGTGTAGCCTCACCGATGGCATCTGGCTGTCGACATTGAATGAGACTTTGATTGTCTTCTCATCCTGTGCGCGATCTTCCTTGATCATACCCACAGACTGGCGCCTGCCCGAGCCCATCGAAAAAGCGCTGTCCAGGAACATGACCTGCGCCGTTTGCCTCTGGTAACGGAATGGTTTGAAGTCAGGCCTATCCTGCTTTCGATATTCCTTGTGGATCACGTCCAAGTTGACACCGTCAAATTCGCTTGGGTATGGGTTGACTGTCTTGTCCTTCACAAACTCTAGGAATTTGAAGTCCTCTGGGATGTCCTCCAGGTATTTCCGGTAGACGCTCACCTTCTTGGAAGAGGTACTGCTGCCAGCATTGTCAGTGCCAGTCATGTCCAGGTCTTCAACCTCGCCCTCCGACTCGTAGTCGGACATCTCGATGTCGTCGACGGTCTTGGACTTTGGCCCAGGTGCAGTTGCAGGTGCAGGTGCAGGTGCAGGTGCAGGTGTGGGTGCAGGTGTGGGTGCAGACACAACGTCATCTTCAGCTACAGCCACCTGTTCTTCCTTGTCCAGGTCCTCGTAATCAATATCATACTCCCCTTTCTCGACATTTTCAGCCGATTGTGAGAGCGCACTGAACGGGTTTGAGGCCGTTTTAGGACGTGAAGCCTTTCCAGGCGCGGGAGCAGCATGACGAACCATTTCGCAGTTTCCTACGAAAAAAAAAGAAGTTGGGATGAGGGCGACACTCCAGTAAGAAGAGGCCCAGTGTCAAATCACCACGTACAGAATACGCTGAATTCGACGAGAACAAGCAATTGCGTGCGTAACACGCGCCTGCAGTTCTATACCGGAACACTCAGTAAAGAGGTCCGGGCCGGCTCGTATAACGAGTCGAGAGAAAAAGATATCTGGTGTGACCCAGACAGAAGAGGCGAGAGAATGCTAGCCCAAGGGCCAGGAAAAAGAAGAGTGAGGATGTGGTGTTAGGAAACGCCTGGGAGAAAAGCTTTGAAGAGAGCTCAGGGCCCGTGCGGGTGTGTTTTGCTTGGCAAGATTACGCAGAGAAGCTCGGTGAAAGATGAGAAGTGAACAGACTGCAAACAGTAGATTCTCCTCATCTCGTCCTTCATGTCTTCGCAATATCGTTTCCATATTTTCCTCAATCTCCCTCGGCCTCGATCTTCCTCGGCGTCCATCTTCCTCGAAATTGGTCCTCCTCCAAAGCACGATCACCGCGACGGCCGCGCGACATGACCACTCATGGTCTCGATCTGATTCCCGCACGTCCTTGAGAACAAGCTCAGCAATATGAACGACATCAACACATACTCTTGTTGCCAGGCATAGACTCCGAAGCGCAACTGAAGCACAGACAACGCGTATCCTAAGCATGGAATCGTCACCGAACCGAAAGCACACGAGCTAGAACCGAGCCGGAAGTACACAATCTGGAACTAGAGCCACCATCCAGGGCACGAGTCTCTGCTTTGTCGGCGCAGTCAATCGTGTTGCTCGGCTTTGGCGCTCTCCTCCCATACCTCAACATCATCGCAACGGCCAAAATGGAACGGTGCCGAGATTGACAGGTGATACGGGCTGCAACGTGACAGCAAGGTCTAGGCAAAGTCATGGGGAAGAAATGGACGTTGGATAGGAGTATGATCGTCAGCGCACCGTCCAGAGTTGGAAACATTAGGCTTACATTCATTAGGCACACAGTCGTGCTGCATTGCTGCTACATATCAGATGGAGCCGTTGGGGGAGCAGTGTGTAGTGATGAAGCCTGATGGCTGAGGTGGACATAAGCTACTCGGCGCCTTCCTTGTTTTGGAAGCTGTGGCCGACGCTCCATATTTGTATACGAGGTACGACATGGCATTGGATCGCTTACTTTCGGACCAAATACCCATCCCTTGCGACAATGGAGTACGGCATTGAGTAGAGCAGGATTATGATAAGTTGACAGCGCATCAGTTACGGCCTGACAATACGATATTGTATGGAATAATCTTTTGATGTACAAATAAATTAAATTTTTCACTTATCAAGCTCGAAACGTTGGTTACTAGGAATGTATCCTGTGCCTTGCTTTGATAATCCAGTATATATCTCACAATTCTGTGCCCTCTTGGCTGTTGAATCTGACTGTATTTATTAGCCGTGAATCGTGGGATGATGGTCGTCTCCAGAGCATTTTGCCACCAGCCACCCAAAACCTAAGCTGCAGTTCCACGGCACTTGTGAAAGTACAATTACAACACAACTCTGATTGATACTATCGTCCAAACGTATCTTATAAATCTGTAACAATGTCTTTACTCAACCTTCCTGTTCGTTGATGTCAGTACTCCTTCTATTCTCGAGTAATATACATTAATCAACTTGGGGAATACTCGAGTTGAATGTTATACAGTAGTAGGATTTTCAGGAACAGTCCGCATTTCACATTTCACATTCTGTCTTTCTCTTCAAGATTTCAATCTGATATTCTTCCCCCTGGAACAAAAAGTACAGTGACAGGAGGTCTGTTTTAGTCTGACGGTTCAATTTTTACTTTGATTTCGGATAACCAAATACCTCTACTCTCCGATGCAGATGAATTTACATGTGGCAGGTACACGGTTGATAGAAATACTCTCTACAGATACCTTGCATCGAGACTTGATGAAAACACAGCTGCGTGTAGATATAGACATGGAGAACCCAGCCATCCGTTCGAACATCGGTACCATCCACTTTAACTTTACATATTGAACCCACCAAACTACAACCAAACTTCGGGGTTCGAGTCTGTAAATTGAGAGACCATACAATATTGAAACGCGACGAATTGACATTGCATGAGGTTTTCTGCCGCTCTTTCGCTCAAAACCAGGGCGGTTAGGCGGAAATCATGTGTTTCAGCTCCATCGACTTCTGAACCCGATACTATACTATCACATGAATGAAAACCCTTCCTTTTTTTGTTCACGTCTAGAAATGTGTAGACTCTTCTCTCTTCAACTATTATCTACCTTTTTGAAACAAACTCGAGCTATATTGTGCAATACTTCCGTGTTCCAAAAAGGCCTCTGGAGATTGCATGATAAAAAGATATTTTACTGTACATGAGCTACATCCTAAGTTTCGGCAGACAAAATTCCATGGATGTACTGATCATGTCAGCTGTCCATTACACGATGGACAACAACAAACTCGGTCAATTCGACGAAATACTTCTGTAGGGTCTGGATCTCCACAGCAACATAAATTTACTGCTTTCCTATCTACAAATTCTCCTCCACTCCAGCCTCTCTCTCAAACAAAAAAAAGCACTTGGCGAACATGATGTTCTTCTTTCCTCATTAACTCGAAAACTCGGCTAGTAGCGCTTCATGTTGGTGTGCTTGCCTTCAAAGATATTGACTATTGGCGCCATGTTTTGCTCCTCTTAAAATCGATTATTTGTTTCGCTATAGTGTGCCTGTCTCAAAGACAACATATAGCCTCAACATGGTGTTCCTGTCTCAAAAGCAAGTCTGAGGTTCAACATGGTGTTCCTGTCTCAAAAGCAAGTCTGAGATTCAATATGGTGTGCCTGTCTCAAAAGCAAGTTTACGATTTAATATGGTGTGCCTGTCTCAAAAGTAACTCATGGGCTTCGACATGGTGTGCCTGTTTCAAAAGCAAGTCTACGCTTTAGGATGGTGCGCCTGTCTTAAAAGCGAGTCTGAGATTCAAGATGGTGTGCCTGTCTCAAAAGCGAACATGCGCTTTAACATGTTTGCTTGCCTTTAGAAATGTAGACTATTGGAGGCATGTTTTGCTCCTCTCAAAATTAACTACTTCCTTTATTATAATCGGCCTGTCTTAAAAGAAACTACGAGGCTCCAACACGATGTGCCTGCCTCAAAAACTAGTCCAAGATTCAACATGGTGTGCTTATCCTTCAAAACATCGACTATTGGCGGCATGTTTTGCTCCTCTTGAAATTGACTCATGGGCATCTACATGGGGTGCTTGTCTTAAAAGAAACTTCTGGGCTTTAATATAATGTACCCGTCTCAAAAGCAAGCCTGCGTTACAATATGGTGTGCTTGCCTTCAAAGATGTCGACTACTGGAGACATGTTTTGCTCCCCTCAAAATTGACTCATGGGCGTCCACATGAGGTGCTTGTCTTTCAAAATGCCAATACCAACATCATCATCATCTTTTGTTCCTTCTCAAAACTGACTATTGACGGCGACATGGTGCGATCCTCTCATGATTGACTACCGGCGTCAGCATAGTGTGCTTGTTTCAAAAACGCCTAGCACTAGCGACATGTTGCGCTCTTCTCAAAAACGAATATTGGGCAGTGACATGGTGTGCCCCTCTCGGAATCGAAGACTGGCGTCAATGTGTCCTTGTTTATAAAAAAAAAAAGACGCCTGAATTGACAATATGTTGTGCTCTTCTCAAGAAAATCTACTATTAACGACATGGTGTGTTCCCTTCAAAATAAATTACAGACATTAGCATGTTGTGCTCTTTTTAAGAAGGATTGCCGGTGCAGCTGTGTTTAGTCTTTCTCCAAACGGCCATGCTATTGATTGCATGTTGTGTTTTCTTCCAAAAAGAAATGCTATCGCTGTCATGTTGTGGGGTTCTGCACAGAAAAAAAAGAGTCCCATGTTAGTCACAATCGTTGAGCAAAGATTGCATAATTTGATATAACTTGGTAACCAGCTCAATTGCTCGATGTTACATGTGGGCAAATGGACCTGAAAGTGCACTCGCGTGGTATCAACACTTCATCTGACCGACATATTCATTCTGACGTGGAAACAACTTCCCATATCGAGATCCATAACCCCAACGCCCCTTGATCACCCCGTAGAGTTATCAAAAGATCATATCACCATTCCCAGAACGGATTCTGATTTCATATACTGCCTCACACGTCGCTGTATCCAGCATATCCATGGTGTTATTCGATATCTTACAGTCACGCCTGCTCGCATTGTTAGCCCTTCATTCGTTCTTGGTTGTGGGAAGAGACATTAGATGAGGAGAGTGTATGCGTACCGATGAGGTCTAGCCACGACCGAACTTACAGCATAGAAGAGCCGCTTGTCGTATCAGGCCGAAGCCGACATAGACAGTGTGCCTGTACCATAGGTCGAAGAAGCCGTGAAGCCGTGAAGCATCGAGAAGGTATTGTCCGCTACATGGATGATGTGCCAGATCCTGTCGATGTCTGTGTCCTTGACGGTGTCGTGCTGGAACAGGGCTCCTTCGATGGCCTTGTCTTCTCCATGTTCGAGCCTCCTTTTTAATGATGTGCCAGATCCTGTCGATGGCCTTGTCTTCTCCATGTTCGAGCCTCCTTTTTAATGATGTGCCAGATCCTGTCGATGGCCTTGTCTTCTCCATGCTCAAGCCTCCTCCTTAACGATGTGTCAGATCCTGTCGATGTCTGTGTCTTTGACGGTGTCGTGCTGGAACAGGGCTCCTTCGATGGCCTTGTCTTTTCCATGCTTAGATGTCATGGTCGCCACGAGCAGATCGGGAAGTGTTCTGTGATCTGGTAGCACATCTGTCAGCTATGATATCTTCGATGAAAATCCCAACCCATCGCTCGGGCCCGTAGACAGAGAGCTTCTTGTGTCTTCATGACCCATGATCGAGTGAGGGAGAGAACCATTTGGGACTTACTGAATGAGTGCATGGTCATCCACAACTGCCCATTTGGGTTGGAAACTCCAAGAGGTCTGGTTGACTGTGGTAATGACGGAACAGCCGTGATAAAACGAAGTAAGCGTTGGGTTCATTACTTGCGCGTTGACTCCAATTCATGGATCGAAAGCGTTATTTGTGGAAAGAAATCATCGTGGCAGCGAGTTGGCGTTATATGAGTTTGACACTTGAGTCTCGGAGCCTGTGAAAACCATGCAGTGGCATTTCTGTCGCTAACAAGACTGGACGATTCTCGCAAATTAGAGTGAGGATGGTGAGCAGGCGTTTGGAGGAAGTAGAGAATGGTGTCTGGAATGATGTGAGCGGCGATGTTCTTTGAGCGAAAGCGCGACACTTACACAACAGCTCATGGTCTCCTAGCAAGGTAGTTTGCACAATTGCTGTCGCTTGTGTGCTGCACAATCTGTTCGCGACGGCATATACTTGAGAATTTTAGCCTAAGATAAAAGTAATACGCTCCTTGAACTTACTGATGATCCGCGAATTGGAATAAATTTGTCGAAAGCCCCACACGCAACCATAAGATCAGCGTGCTCTATTCATCGATAGATCCCCTCTTTCAACGTTCCCATGTTACCAAAGTTGATATCTCGTAAAACCGGTTCTTGTATATATATTTACGGTCGGCATAATCGTAATCTCTTTTTTCGTGGGTTTTTGCTTGGCCGGCTCCTGTGTCGGTTGCCTTCGGTTGGTCTGAGGTGGCACCCAAACGGACAGATCGGTAAAAATCAACAAATCTTGCTTTTAGCGGGACATTTTACACTACCGTCACATTTTTGGGATTGTGAAGACATTTTGGTGCCCTGCCGTCACACTTTTTCCTTGTTTTACCACATGACGCACACGCAACCTTTCTTGCGTCTTTTTTCCGGCTGGAGGTAGGATTGTTGGCACATCCTCGATGAGAACCGTCACACGTCGTTCTCTTTGATTTACGACATGGAAGGCATTTTGATTTGCTGTCGCCACGGCCGATCATAGGTGCAGGCTCAAGTGGTGCATCTGCAAGCACAAGTCTGCCAGAACCAGAATTTATGTCCAAATCGTTATCGTCCTTTTTTTCGTCTGAACCGTTGGCAAGCAAAAGGGTATTGCGTCCGGACGTTTTCGATCGTCTGCTATCTGGGAACCCTGGGCGTAGTTCACGCATCTCGTTGAGCATCTCAGCCGTCATCTTAGTTGATCTGGGGTCTCCACCTGGCTTGCTGTGCCATCGGACAGCGACCTTGGTCTTGTTGTGAGCTAATTGTGTCAAAGCGTAGAAGTGCTTCTCGACTGCGCTTGTTGGGTAAAGACCCTTGTCTGGATTGAATTTATTCCAAGCTGTTCTCCCCTCTTCAAGTGTGAACTCCAACCAGTATGGGAAAGAGGTGACATTCTCAAATCCAATCAGCTCCACAAAGTCCTGACTAAATGCGAGGCGGAAAACAAAGGTTGCAGCTCTGACTTTCCGAAGCTCGAAAAGCTCATTGAGCTCGATGGTCAGGTTTTCCAGGTTTTGCGATATGATATAGATTTTCACTGGTCCATGTGAGGCAAGGACACTCACAATCACGCCACTTCCGGTTGGCCTGTCGTCTGGCCAATTTTGGCTGCTTTGCTGGGTGATATGTTCGGCGAGAAAGATATAATCGTGGGCGAGCAATTGTGCGTACTCCTTCGTATCGGATCTTCGATCTACCTTAAGCGGCAGCTCAACACGGGCAATTTGCTCTAGAGGCGGTGTTGGAAATGCTGCTTTATAACATGTCCACAACGTTGTATGAGGTAGAATCTTGCACTCATATGCGCTTGATCTCGTTACCAACCAGAAGACTTCTTGACACCTCTTAGCTGGCAGATCGTAGAGCTTCAATTCTGATACAGCTTCGTTGTACAAGAGCTCGGGGTCTGTGATTTGGCTCCTATCATATTTGAATAATGCTATAGGACGCGGAGAGATTGTCATAGATTCCGACAGCAAGAGTTCATAGAATGTCCCGAGCGGAGTTGAGATAGGGTTGAAGTATCGCCGATTCTGAACCAAAGCCCTGGGATAAGATGCATCCCTGTATATGGCATCCGGCTCCTCAATTGATTCCTTGATCAGAGTAGTCATAGACATAAACTTATGGTTTTTTAGCAACACCGCTCGTAATATGTCCGCAATGGAGCGGGCACCCTGACTCCATGTGCGATTCCTGAAGTATGAAGACCGATCAATAGGTCCAAGCAGTTCGCCTGGATTTTCTCCGTCAACACCTGGAATCATTGCTAGTGATGCAGCGGATTCTGTAAAGAGTGTTGGCAGTCCATCGTGTGCCTGTTCTGGAAGCGGAAGGTCGCGAAGTTTGTCATCGCCGTCACTCTTGTCGTAAGTGTCGTTGGTGTCATCTTCGATTTGCACCAGCTTCGCGAGCGCATCGTCCCCACCGTAGGAGTCATTTGGTTGGTCCAAGACGTCGTCTGAGTCATCGCCTGACTCCCGGTCGAGCTGAGAACACACGTGTTTGTACGCAGTCGTCCAATTTGGTCGGGATATCTTTGATAGCTTGTAGACGCGCTCAATCCGACAAATGATATCCTGGACTAGGAACTTACGCGTGAGCTGAATAGCCGGCGGATTGCTTATTTGCATTGGTCGACCTTCGAGTATTTGGCGTACAGCCCATGCCGAGAAGATACCACAGTCGTTGCTGCCTAGAGACTGCCTGTACCATTCCTCGTACCTCAGTTTCAGTGGCTTCGCTTCTCCCCATTGGGTGTTACTATCAAGCTGGCGCAACGCAGCGACTAAGGTTTGTAGTACCATTTTGGCGCTGTTGGCATGATACCGATCCAAGGAGTCGTACACTCGACAGGTTCCTCCTACGTCCAACTGGAATGCGACGAAATGGTCACCGCCTACGCTGACAACCGTGGCGATGCAGCTGATTTTGCTGGTAAGGTGATCTTTCAGCCATTGCATGGAGCCGGGTATGTTGTGGGTTATTCCAATCAATGTCGACGAGGGTATCCAAAGGACATGGTCCACGTTGGCGCCATCGTCAATACTGAAGGTGATCAAAGTGTCGACCATCGTATATTGAAGTTGAGTGGCCATTGCCATTGTTATGAGCCCCCATGCCATTGGGGTGTAATGACGCATATCTTGTCGGAAAGATAAGTTGATTTCATTCGTTCCGCTCTCGTGTATATCAATATACATCAGACAGATCATGAGTAGTCGTCCAACTTCACATCCATGGAACGCTTGTTTAACAACGTGTTGAATGGATGTTCGTATATTGAGGTATCCACCTTTCCCATACATGGAGCTATTAGACGCCGTGATGTAGTTCTCAACGTCGATGGGTGTCTCGAAGGCATCTCCTTTAGCATTGGCTTTCGGCTCGAGGTCGAAACTGTCGTCTCCAAGTTGATTGTTAGCACTGTCGTCCATGCTGTTTGGATCAGGCTCCTGGTCCCATGTTTGAGACGGAGCAAACCCATTTGTTGAAGTTCCACAGTGCTGCACGTAACTAGACATCACGTCGGCGGAATTCTGCTCCAATGGCTGAGATAGAGGCGTAGGGAAATGACTAGCAGACTTCGGTTTCTGCTGTGCTACGGGCGTCGTATGCATGGACTCGAGCTTGCTGGTCTGATTTGCTGAACGACCATCTTGTTGAGGTGGCGGGGCCTGCACATTTATTGGCGAGACTCTGGACGGGTGACTGTGTCTCGAAGCTCGATCAGCCTCACACATGGGCTGACGACCGCGTTCTGAAACTCGATCAGCTTCACCTCTGTGAGGGATGGACGGTGGTGGTGACTGTGATCTCCGTTTTGGGTCTAAACGCAATCTTCGTTCATCTCTTTCGTCTGTTGGCATGTATCGAGGGACACCTCGAAGAGGGTGAGGCGAATTTGACCTGTACACGTGGATTTCGTATCGAGTATAAGGCTGTCGGCCTGAACGGTAAGGTGAACGTGGCTCACGGCCAGGTGACCGCGATCTTTGACGACGGAGTGGTGAGCGAGATCGTCTTCTCGAGTAATAATCGCTCGTGTCACGGCGATTACGTTCTCTCTCCTGGTTCCTTGACCGTGGCTCAGGCCTGCGGACGTCATGCCTCATGGGTGACCGTGATCTTTGACGACGAAGTGGTGAGCGAGAGTGTCTTCTCGAGTAATAATCGCTCGTGTCACGGCGACTACGTTCTCTTTCCTGGTTCCTTGACCGTGGCTCGAATCTGCTAACAGGCGACGGAGACCGTGACCTCGGACGAGACTGGAGGCGATCATCTGGAACATAGCTATCGGTTTGTGGGCCGGACATATGTTGTACATAAGCTCGCTCTTTGGCACTCTGCGGCTGGTAAAGACCTGCACGGAGAGCATTGCGCTGACTCTTGCCTGGTCTGGAGCCACCGTTCGTATACATAGTGCAAGAGGTTTCGTAGAGTCTACGAAAGAAGGGAAGAAGGTTCGGAATAAGGGCGACACTTCCTTTGGAAGAGGCCCAGTGAGTCCTTTCAGTGTGCTGAACACACGTCGGGTTACTCGAAGAAAATCACGTACAGAATACGCAACAGTCTTCTACCAGAACACTCAGTAAAGAGGTCTGGGTTGGCCTATGCTAAGATAGGTCAAGAGTGCTACAATGGGATTCAACCACTGCAGGATCCCTGTGCACGTCAAGCAGCAACCGGAGTCACTGATGAATAGCAGGAAGAGATGAAGAGAGAAGCGTCTGACGCGTGAAAAACATCTTATGGCTGGGGGCGCTAACCAGCACGCGTGAGGGAAGAGCGCTGGAAGAAGAAGGAGCGTCCGGGGAAGCTGCACACCTCGACTACACTCGCCAAAGACCAAGCCTGACTCTTGGGAAACGTACCGTTGCATTGCTATGTTATATGTCTACAAGCTCTCATACTGTCGTCAACCTCAGCAGTAAGGTTTCGGACATTTGCGCCAGCATTGACATCAAACCCGTCACCGTTGGTGCCCTCATGCCAGTTGATCACAGAAGGTCGTGAGCATCGTTATGAGCAGGGCATCAGGCGATTCCCAACTCGAGGAGAACTGACAGACCGCGCCTGGCGGAGACACAATCTGAGCGACGATGTAATTACAAAATCCACATCTTGCATAACCCATCAAGCCCAATTCTTCCTGAATACCCATATCTTCATCCAACGGGAGGCAAACCGTTTACTGCGAACACACGTCAGTCAAGTCAAGATGATGTATGAACGAAAGGAGATGAGTTAACCGAGGCAACACACCGAATTTCGTGCCAGCTCGCAATCGTAACCTCACGTTCGTATATTCTTCAGTGCCGGTGAAGTGTGGGTTTGCTGAGAAGTACTGCAGGCTCGTGTTGAGTGGCCTAGAATTGCCTGAGTGGTATGATTTACTCAAGCAACAAAATAATTTAGGCAAACAAGACAGAGGTCGAGTTGCTTTGCAAACGGCGAGGGACAACACAACTGCCTGTGTCTATTCATCTTATCGCTGAGCTGACAGAGTAATCGCCAGTACGAGCCAATCTCAGACGCTAGTGTTAGAACTGTTGGTAATTGACACAATCCACCGTGCTGGCCTGTGGTAGGAATATGCGATGAAGGAGGCGTATGTTGCCTTAAATCAACAACTACGAGCTTCAACACGACAACACTCGGGGCAAGAGGTGTTCATTCGACATCTCATTGTTTGAGCGTCTTGTGAAGCCGCAGACAGGGAATCCACAGGTACCATTGAGTACATTGAAGATCCAGCGACGAATGCACCGTGGAGTGCATTGAAGATCCAGCGACGAATGCACCGTGGAGTGCATTGAAGATCCAGCGACGAATGCACCCGTCTATCTCAGATCTGATTAGAGTTCTGCTCTACCCAGACCTACAAGACCATCCTTCAGTTTCAGAATACCTAGAGTTAATAGGATGCAAGATCGACTGTATTAGCTTAACTATCAAGAAAAAGAAGATGCACAGCCTACCTAAGCCGTGTCGCTATCTAAAACTAACACATTCAAAGTAGAAATAACTGCTACTCTTATATCACAATCTTGTAAGACAGGGGACATATAGAAGTAGGGATATCGCAGTTATAACACTATATCTTAGACAATTGCAAAAGATTAGGAAGCGACTTGCAAATTCCTTCAAGATTGTTGTCGGGGATCGAGATCAAGAAGAGTTGGATGCTTAGGGGCTCCAAGATACCGGAGCTTCTGCGGACGGCAGAGTCAGAGTCCAGAAAACGACACTCTACTTCGGTAACCGACTCACCAGAAAAATCCGTCGGAGGCGGTTCTCCGATATGTTTGCACGCCCTGTCTTGCGGATATACTGGCTAACGATGCATTTCTTCCGCGGCGGGCTGATGGTGCCGTAGCAAATTTATCGTGAGATATTCGGGCAACGTCAAACAGCTTGGCAGGGCTGGTTGGATGCAAAGCTGGGAAGGCAGGCTGGCATGCTTTGGAGACTGCACACTGACTAGTACGAGCTAATTGCTGAAGATCCAGGTGAAGATGGTGGAGTCGGTGTTCGTCTGCAACCATCTTTGGCGGACGATCAATTTGGCGCTCTTCTTCTATCTCGGGTGCAAGCTCGTGCTGCAAAATGGCAGTGTTGAACCTCATGTCCTTGACGTCCTATCATTGCTAGACGATCTGTGTAATGTTATCATTGAACACGTCCCATCCTTCCAGATGCTGTGAGCTCATACTGTACTGTACCCGCAACCTGTAACGGTCTTCAAGTCCTTGAGCTTCGTCATCCAAAAAAAAAGCATTCGACTGCTCAGATGCCGTGTCTCCATCGGGCAACAACTTCTCGTGCTCTTGGAAGCGACGACCCTGCCATGGTCTTCGATAATAACATTGTTCTCCAGCATGCGGGTCAAGGAAGATGTTCGCAAAGGCATGCTGGCCATCCTTCATCTTGACTTGAAAGCGTGCAAAGCGCGCCATCGTTTACTATCAGACCATGCGCAACCGTTCAGGTTCATGCACAACTGTTCGGGTTCTTGCATGGATCCTATGCAAGAGCTACACTCAGCCGCAGGCATTCACATCAACTGCAGCAGCGTTGGGGAGTAAGGCGGGCGCCCCAATCACGAACCGTTGGAACCGTTCTGCTTACCACCGCATCTTCGAGGGGCTTGCCACGCCCGTCTCTACTCGCATCGGATTCCCGGTCAGAATGGAGCGAATTCGGGGCAGCGTCAACCGCTAGGGCAACGGCGTCAAAGCTGATGATGGCATGCTAGCGTTCAGCAATCAGGCCACCACTTTCATCTCCATCGGCTGCGACCCAGAGGCTCATGATATCTTCTCAGGACCATCCCGATGAAGTGGCAGAACAACGTTGGTTTCGTCATTCTTGTGCGTTGGGACAAGAGAACTCTTCTCTCAGGACATACTGCATCTTTTCCAGGCTACTGCCGGTTCTGCCTTATCGATTTGTTAGAACGGCAGCGTGAATTTACAACCGATAAAGCCTACGTCTTGCGCGAGATTAGTGCAAAGAAGTTCAAAGTCTATTACGGGACCTGGAGGGAGGATCAGGACGACGAGGAGAAACAGACACAGATTTCTCCATCGCCGTTGCTTGCGCCAACATGTAACAACACGCAGATTCCAGTGTCCAACAGGCCAACAACGGCAAGGAGACGTACAACGTCCGCGTCGTGGATACGTTGAGATGCGTGGGCGATGCGCTATTCGTGGTCGGAGAACATGCCAGATTTATTTATGTTCCGACACATTCAATCCAGCCATGATGGAAAGTTAGCATTCCCTGTGCGATATTTGACTCGGAGCTATCAAGGCGCTGAAGACTATTGAGCTTGTAGGATATGACATGCTTGAAAGTCTTTGATACGACGCTGCGACAGTGAAGCATATCTTGATGTAGGTCAATATAGAGTCGACGTATTTCTGGAACGGACCTAGAATGGCGTTTCTTGACCTACCAAGCTTTCAGGTCGTGACGGAATCATTTGGGCTGTTGGATAGAGCAATGGCTTTAGCACAATGAGACACGAGAGCGTCTTGTCATCCCAGAAAACGGTTGCTGCGACATCGAATCCAGTTAAGGCTTTGGCCGATATCGAAGAGTGTTGCTGAATGCTTGCACAGTTGTTACACGCGTTTTGGTGGCAGATTTGTGTTGCTTGCTCCTCCTGTGTTGAAATGTCAGAGTTGTCTTTTGGGAGAATCCTTTCCTCTTACCGCTTTTTGGTCTTCGTTGTCATGTCGTTGGTATGACCCTCTTCCGTTCTTCACACAGAAATCAGCAGCCAGCAAACCAGCAGTGGTGGTCTACCTCAGGTATGGTCTTGTGAGCTCGGGTGCTCTGTGGAATAAGGCAATGTTTGTAAACCTTGATCCTGTAATTTAAGGCGTATGTGAGCGGGGAATCACCTGTGATAAAGAGGCGTGCCTTGGAGCAGTTCAGTACCGTTTGCGGCAAGCAGTCTTCTCCAATTGCAAGTGGAATGTGAGTCGAGGTTGCAGCGTTGAAGGTCGCCTCGTTTGGCTGGAACTCATTTCTGATGAAGTCGTGGTATTCTAAGATAACAGCCTGTGCCAGCTTATGGCGGCCACGGCGGCTACGGGTGTAGTCTTGCGCAAGGTTTATGTCTCTGGAGGCGATATCAGCGTCAGACTTATTTTCATCTACGTTGTGAGCTTCAAGTAGGGTCTAAATGGGTTGGCGGCCATAAGTCCGACTTAGATGTTCTTGAGTGTCTTGCGCGGATCGAGCTTTTGTACCTGGCTGAGATCGAGGTTCTGTACCTAGCCAGGATCGAGGTTCTGCACCTAACGACGAGCGGATCGAGGTTCTGCACCTAACGACGAGCGGATCGAGGTTCTGCACCTGACGAAGAGCGGATCGAGGTTCTGTACCTAACGACGAGCGGATCGAGGTTCTGTACCTGACGACGAGCGGATCGAGGTTCTGTACCTGACG